GAATTCACTGAAGGTCGTCCATGCAGAATGTTTTAGGAACGTTTAAAGGGAAGATAGAATCATAGACTAATAGAATATTGCAGCACAGAAAGAGGCCATTCGGCCCATCGTGCTGCCTGCGCTGGCTCTTTGAAAGAGCTACCCAATCAGTCCCACTCCCCCCACTTTTTTCCCATAACCTTCCAAATTTGTCCTCTTCGAGTACCTATCCAGTTCCCTTTTGAAAGTTGTCACTGAATCTGTTTCCATCACCCTTTCAGATAGATAACAATAATGTAAGATAATCCTTGCGTGTGATATAGTGCCTTATTAAGTCGTCGAGACACCAGGAAGTTACCAGGAAGGATGGCTCAAGACATCATAATGGATCATTTCAGAAACAGCTTGATGCTGTAAGACTGTAAAGCGGGTGTTCGGGAAGGAAGAGAATAGAATTCTTCCTCTAACCCTCTCTAGTAAACTGTTATTCCAGGATCCCTTTGCTCATCGTATGCTTCCAGTGCTGCAAATATTCCTGAACTCTCCGTCTCAACCAGACATTACCGAAGACAAAACCCCCAGGTGTTTTTTTTTAAAACGGAAACAAATCACTTCTTGGCAGTTTGAGAGGAGAAAGCAAAAAATTGGATATTTTCCTCTGTCGATTCGCTTTGCCAAGCAGTAATGTGAGTTCAACAGTGCTTTGGACATATTTCAGACTAGACAGAGTGGCCAAGGCAATGTTTAGCATGTTAGTCAGCTCAAGAGCTGAACAACCTTGTGACTGGAACTTTGCTGCGAAGAAACTTACTGCTCGGAGCCAAGCGCAGCACTGAAATCGCACGAATATTGTCTTGTTGGAAACTATCAATAATAATAATAATAATCCTTGCATTTGATACAAGGCCTTTCACGTTGGGATGAGGTTCACAAGGCGCTTCACGGAGTTTTAACGTGAAGTGCAGCTACTGTGTTACTTTGTAGGTGTACCAAACACAAAGGCTTTTCTGAAATCACCCAGGAATTTGAAAGCTTAGCCTGGACTTCAACAGTGTTTTGAACCGTCACAAACAGGTCACCTATCTCGCTGTTACAGTGTCCTGGAATTCCTCTGATAGACAGAGAGTGCAGCCGTTAGTTAACCTTGGGCCTGTTGGTGACCTTGAGTGATCTTGTAGTGCAGTGGAATATTAATAATAATAATAATAATAATAATAATAGCCCTTGCATTTGATATAGCGCTTTATCAGGACATCTCAAAGCGCTTCACAGTGTATACTCTATACTGTGGATTGACTGTGTATTTTGTGGATAAATATGAGAATTTGGTGGTCAAATAAGGAGATGATGTTAAGTGATTGTGTGTAGGTGGATGTTTCAGATAACCCCAGTCCTATCCTCACACAATGTCTATCAATGGTCATTGTCCAACAGGGAGCAATGGGGAGAGAGATGAGAGCCAGCTGATCTTTTACCTACAAGAGCAGAGGTACTGAAGCTAATTGTTGTGTGTTTCACACAGACACACACACACACAGCACACACCAATGATCAACGCCAAGGCCGTTCTGGTCCGTAGGACTCAGAACCACACCATTGCGCCACATTGATCCATTGGAGAACCCCAAGAGGGAGTTGGTTCGGAATGGACAAGAGCAATGAGGCAAGAAGGAACCCGTCTAAAGGAGGGACAGAGAGAGAGAAAGAGAGAGAGAGAGAGAGAGAGGGAGAGAGAAATAGACAGGATGAACTGGATCTCATCTGTCTTTGCCACCTGACGGTTGGATTTCATGGCTATTTGTGGAACATCGCTATGTGCAAATTGGCTGTCGCGCTCACCCACAACACACACAGTCGCTACCCTTCGCAGTAAATCCTGTGAAGCGCTTTGAGGCGTCCTCCTGATGTGAAAGGCGCCGTCTACGACGAGAAGATTGTTATTACGTTTTATTAATAAAAATAAATGACCCTCGGAGCCCATGAGAAGGAACAAGGGCAGGAAAAAGTGTGCAGCCTAAAGCCCTTTCTTTATAAGACATTAAACTGTAATCGACACAGCTGAACGGGGTGGAAAATATGAATGGTGAGAAAATAGCACATGTGCACAATGGAACATATTTTCCACGAAACTTGTATTTTTTTGGTCCAGAGATGTTTATTTTCTTAAAGGGAAGTAAAGGTCCTCAGGAAGTACTTTGTGTTCTAAGTGATTTCCACTTCCTCCCCCCCCACCACCATCCGCCCCCCACCTCCCCCCCACCACCACCTCCACCCCCTCACTATTGAAACATCTGACAGGATTTACTGTAAAGTGTAGTGACTGTATCTTATGGGTGAACAGAACAGCTAATTTGTGCGTACAGCAACGTCCCAGAAACAGTCACGACAATCTGGGGGATTCTTCTCGCCCAGCGCCGTGGGATCTTTGAAGTCCGCCTGATCAGGCGCAGACGGGACCTCGGTCTAACGTCTCCTCCAAAGGACAGTGCCTCCGACATTGTAGCACTCCGCACCAGCCCCGCTCTGCAGTGTCAGTCTCGGCCGTGCGCCAGGCTGACACTAAACATTGGCGGCCATACTGAAGAAGTCAGTCGCCATTGTATTCGAGAGAGTTGTGAACAGTATTCGAGTTGGGATATTTTTTTATAACTGAAGCACAAGTCTGGCAAAGGAACGCCTTTCATCACAAACCTCTACTGACCCTTGCTGGTCATGTCTACTAAGTGCAGGGGGAACTTTGGCAGCCATGGTTGCTGAATGTTTTCTAATGTGACCTGTTCAGTTCCCCCACCCACCCTTGGAGGTCACAGGATAGCTGAACGACAGCCTCTGCTCAAGTGCGTTGGGAATCCGAATTCCCGTCTCAACAGTCGTTCGAGAAGGATGACGTATTTGCATAACTGGGAAAGGAAAGAGGAACCAATAACGGTTCTTTTTTTGAAACTGTTTTTGAAATTCTCAACTCTGGCTTCGAGAGGCCAATTTACACGGAATAATGTTAGGGAGAGATACAGCCACAAACCTGAGAGCACAGGAGCGTTTTTAAGAGAGCTCCTGGTGCAGGGCCTTTTACGATTGAACGGCAAGCAGGGAACAAAGGAAAACGGGAGTGCGAGGAGGCCACTCAGCCCATCGAGCCTGTTCCTAGGTGTCCAGTTTAGGTGGCACAACTAGGAGCACTCTTTGCTGTGAGATGTGGGTTGTGGGTTCCAGACACACACCGGGACCTCATGTAGTCTTGGCTGACACTCCGGTGGAGCACTGCATTGTTGGAGGTGCCGTCCACCTGAACTGGGCGCAGACAGAACCACATCCGAAGGACGGCACCTCCGACAGTGAGGCGCTTTGTCGTTTGACCAAACCTCTCCTGCTCTGGGGTGTGGCGGAGATTAAGCTTCCCGGCGGATCTGTGTCCACACATTCCTCGCAACATCTGCCGAGCAAAGTCTGCGGGCGGGCTCTCCAGCTGCACAGAACGTTCTGTTTCTGAGGTGGGAAAACCAGAGACCGAAACCGCTAGACGAGTCCCAGTTGGGCCAGCTCCTGACGAGAGGTCCCTCGGTACACAGAGGATGGGAACGGTGGGATTGTTATTTTTGACGTGGATAGATCAAATGCTTTGTTGCAGAAAGAGGAGACTTTAGAGGCAGCAGGTCAAAGGGCTCCAGTTCCTAATGATGTTGTCAACGGACGTATCATTGTTGCAGATGTGCGACTGGGCTGAGAAGTTTGGCTTCAATCCGTCTCGGTCTCGCTCTAAGGACACAGTGTGGGTTTGCTTTGTGCAACACAGCACATCTGTCTCAGTCAGAGCCAGTCCATGTGCGATGCGCTCATGGTACGTGGAAGCTTACAACGACAATAACAATTTGTGTTTGTATAGCACCCCTCAGGCAGGGTAGTGTCCCGGAGCGCTCAACAGTGGCGGAGCGCAACTCCGAGGAGGGGGGGAGTGGGGAGTTGACCCTCAGCTACGGTCGAATAGGAAGGTCTTCAGGCGTGACCTGAAAATGGGGGAAGGAAGGGGCAAGGCGGAGGGATAGAGGAAGAGTGTTCCAGAGTTTTGGGGCTCAAAAGCTCGACCTCCGATGGTGGGGCACAGGGCGCAAGGGACGAGCAGGAGGCCGGTGCCAGTCGAGCGGAGGTGCCGGGTGGTGGATTGGGGAGTGAGAGGTAGGGAGGTGCCAGGGAGTCAAGGGATTTGAACACGAGCGTGAGGATCTTGAAGTCGATCCCACATTGCTGTCATGCCCACCTTCCTTCTTCCTCATCCGTGCAAGATTGCAAAGCCTTCCTTCTTAATGTCCTATCGGCGACGTCTTGTGAAGCTATACAAGACTTCTGTATTTACTAACTATTTTAGCCCCGGTAGGAAGGCTGAGATTATCGCCGCATGCCTATGATCCGTGGATATTCTGGGCCCCGATAATACTAATTATTGATAATAATTAACACTTTACACTTGATGCAGCGTCGTTCGCGTTTTGTAGGCGAATGTGGCAAATCAGGCACGTTTAGAATTACGCTGCACTGGGAGACAGGGAAAGGCTGGGCCACAGTCACTCGTGATTAAACCCACCGGAGAAGCTATCTGATGTCTTCCTGTTACCCGGACTTTGACTTTGACGCGTTCAACAGTAACCAAATCAAGCATTTATTTGTTTATTTGTTTGTTTGCTTGTTTATTTATTTTCTTTCTTTATTTATCGATTTATTTATTTCAACCCATTCGGGATGTTGTTACGTCGCAAAAGATTAACAGCGTCGGAAGTAGGTCGTCAACTCCGCCCGTCATCCCCATTAACATCACAGAAAAAAACAATCGAAGCTGAATCATGGACCGTGTTTGGGCTCCTCATTCATTTTTGCAAAAGAGAGAAGGAGGAATCGCCGCAGTCAACCTACACTATTAAGCGTTGCAGCGGAAAAGACTCTACAGTGCTGGACATCCACAGACTTAAATCAGCTCGGAGGGGAACGAACATAGCATCGAAGGTCGGAGAAAGTGGTGCGGGAGGAGTTGAAGGTGGGAGCGATTTCTCTCACAGTGAAGTGGTTTTGTTGCTGTGCATTCCTTCATCCTCGGGACTCATTCCAAAATTCGAGTTTCCGTACCTGGCATCGGAATCGCAATAACCGTTAGGAAAACGGAATGTCATAATAACAACAACAACAACAACAACACATTACATTTACACGGAGCCTTTCACGTCGGGAGGATGTCCCAAGGCGCTGGACAGTCAGGGATCCACACCCGAGCTGGTGGTTGGGATCAGGAGGGGTGGAGGGCGGGGAGGGTTTGGGGTAGGAGGGTGGCTGAGGGCACGGTTGAAGAGGAGGGTCTTGAGATGGGTCTCGAAGGAAACAATAGAGGGAGAGAGGCGGAGGGACTGTGGGATGCAGTAGAGAGGCTGCTGCACTCTGCCCCTTGAAATGCAATGTTCCACCTTAGTCTGCAACCTCACTGATATGGGATATATTTTCACCAAAACATCCCTCTGTGTCTTTTCCAGGAGAACTGTGTAAAGCCTCGTGAACAATTAACATAGGGTAAGTAATACAACATTGATATTAATATAGTCTAATTTGCAGTGACGTGAATTGCATGCTGTACGTTGAAGGGAACAATAAATGGGGAGAAGGAATTATCAACAGAAGAACTAACAACGGCGAAGACAACTTGCATTTATTTTACCGCCCTTCACAATTTGATATTTTTCGCCCACAAAATATACAGTCGGTTCACTTCACAGTATATTCTGTGAAGGGGCTTTGAGACGTCACAATGGGCGTGATAAGGCGCTGTATCAAATGCAAGGATTATTATTATTATTTCACGTGGAGGGCGTAAATAATAATCTTCGCTTTTGACACATCCCGACCTGGCTCAGTGAGCAGTTTAGTCCATGACGCCCACTCTGCCCGTTGCTGCTATACAACTGTCCACAAGAGGACGTCACAAGACCAGCTGGAAATTGCTCACGAAAGAGCTGGTCAGATCACAGACTCGCTTCAGCATCTCTTTTGTGACCCTGCTGAGATTGGAAACTCAGCGGGCGACATACTGCGGCTTCAAATAAAGTCAAGTGTAGCAAAGTCACACTGAGTTTTGATAAAGTAAAACAGAACCGCAAACTTGCAGGTGCAATAAGGAGGAGACGAAAATAATGGCAGAATTCTACAACTTGTTTCACACCAGGTTTCCTTGCAGTCCTGGACTGCAAAGGACAACACAGGTTAGTTGTCAAAGTTATTGGGCTCTCTTAACAGAGCTAAGTATTTTGCCACCGACTTGCTTTACTGTGGCTCTTCCAAAATCCAATGAACTTGGATCACTTGGATATTAAACTGTTCCAACAATGAATGTCTTTCCTCGAATAATTCAATGAACTGAAGTAAGTGTCGTGCGTCTGTGCGCGTATTAGCATTGTTCTTACTATATTGTCATACTACTGCTATTTTTACAAGGGAACTGAGATTTTGGAGGCGAAGTTAAGCGACATGTCTGTGCTGTCATTTCTCTGCTGAGTCTAAAACGTGATGATTTAACGGCTCGTATCGCTGATAAACCGAAAGTTTTTCATTTGTAAGAACTTCTCGGCCTCAGGCTTTGCCACTGTTAAGTGCTTTGTGATGCCGCTCCTTTTATACAAATGAAAGCTGTTGTTCTTGTTGTTGTATTTTTTTTTAAAAAGAAACGAGTTGCGGTCCTTAACGTCAGGAAAAAAAAAACCGAGTATTTCGAATCTCAGAAAACGACAATAGTGTCGGGCTCAAGACTAGACGTCTTGTAAATGTTAGTGTATAACGACGGAGGAAAACAAACTTACTTTTCGTACACGTTTTCTAGTTCCCCCTTCCTGCAAAAGGAAACTTGGGTAAGTACAGGCCCTGCTGAACTTTCATTGATATACGAGCGGAATCTTACTCCACTGGCTTTGGGGTTCTTAGCTGGTTAAACTCCAAGCAGTTACTCCCCCCCCCCCCCCCACCCCACCCCCCCACCACCCTAACTCACACCCTGGGGGTCCCGCAGGCCTTGGTTCTCGCCAACCCGCACCCAACACTCTCCGGAATTAGCCACGCATTCCCTCCAGGGGGAGAGTGCGCATTCCGTGCCAAACGCAGGGAGATTTTCTTGCGCTGGTGACGTACGTATGTGGAACTCTCAGTATGTGGAAACTCTTCAGCACGGTGATGCTCACACTCCCCACCCCCCCCCACCCCCCACACCCACCCAGGTCGTTGTCAGACTCCGCCACTGTGAATCGCTCCGGGACACTAGCCCTAGCCCGCGTGAAGTTTTACGCGTAACTGTTCAGTGAAGCTGTGAGGTTCAACGACGTCCACTTACTTCTTACAAAGGAGTCTGTTGAGTATCAACATGGAAAAGACAATGAAAATGAACACGATGACAGCGGTCAGTCCAACGAGCCAGGGCTGCCAGACTGCAACTGTGTCAGCTTTTGCTCCACCTACAACACAAAACAAACTACATAAATATATATATACTGTGCGTGTATAACGTGAAAGGGTTTAGGATGATAAGGGTTTAGCTTATTATACTCCCTGATCCCCCACCAACCCACCCGGGAGAGATCATCAGACTATTAACGTCACTGAGCTAACATTTGATGAGTCTCCACAGTCCTTGCTCCAGTTCAATACGTGTCTGCGCTGATAACAAACAGACAATATTCAGAATTTCCTCAGCTATCGCTCAACGTAAACCCACACACACATTTCCTTGAAGCTCCTGTTCATTCCCTTCCTCCCCAGATAAGATATCGGGAGCTAACGATTGGGGGATATGCCCCTGTTTTCTAACAGACGACTTTCCAGGAGGGGATTGGGGCAGAGCGTGCGAAATCGGCCCCACTTTCTCTCGAGAGACCTTGTGTGGAAAAACAATCCCATTTTACTGACGCCGAAGCCTGATAAAAGCGTTATTAAATTTGAACCATGCGTTGTAACCTGAGCAAAGGTGAAGAAGAAAAATAAAAACTAAACACAATAAACATGGGATGAGTATTCCCTTGCGATGAAGTGGTCGGGAAACCAATACCATTCCCATTCAACAGCGACATTATCATGTTTCAGGACAGGCCTGAGTTAGCACAAGAGCCCGTAATTCTAACCCAGGCAGATGGGTCTTGCCCAGCTCCGTGAACTGTCTCCAAGACCTTGTTCCAGATAAAATCCTGCCCCTCCGTTGGGAATATTTGAGATGACTCAATGACGTGATAAGGCGCCGTATCAAATGCAAGGATTATTATTATTATTATATTGTTGTTTGCATGTGGAGAGTGTGAAGTCCAAGCAATAAAGTCTCTGTGACTGAGTCAGAGAGAGGGGGAAAAAACACTCTACGCTGTATACCAGTGCTTCCGGCATTGCTTCCATACCTGTGCAAACTTTGCTCATTGCATTGCAATCCCTGAGAGAGAGAAAATAGTAATAGTAACGGCCACGGAGTGAGTGGCAAATTTTATTTGGGGCATTGTAGGCTTTACAGTAGGCTTTAGGGATCTTTAACATCCATCTAAACAGGCGAACGCCTCAGAAAATATCCTTGACATCTTCTGCGTCTTTCAGTAAAATATTCAAGATATTACGCTTAACTGGAAACACAACATTTCATATTGGAATAGATTCACCCGCACTCGAATCACGCAACTTCACGGTGAAGCGCTTTTGAGATGTCTGGACGACGCGTTAAGTCGCCGTATCCAACGCAAGAATTGTCACTCTCTGTGTTCTAAACAGCAGGTTTCATCTTAAAAAGAAAATGCGTTGCCGTTGCCTTGTAAGATCCTGTACGATATATTTTCATAATAATAATAATCCTTTGCATTCGGGATAGCACCGTATCGCGTCGTCGAGACGTCTCAAAGCGCTTCACAGAGTATACTGTAAAGTGGATTGACTGTATATTTTGTGGGTGAATCGCACACAGCAGTGTCCCACAAACATTCGTGGATTGAGTGACCGAATGATTGTTATATTTGTCTTATTTTGAAGAAGTTATTACCCCCGGAAAGCGATCCGCCAATTGACTAATGATTGGGTTCCTGCTCACTGCTAGGTAAACAGAGGCGAGTGGAGGAAGGAAACTTGGCTAAGGTTTCACCTCGCCCGAGAATCGAACCCAGGTCCTCTTGTTTGCGAGGCGAGTCCTCCAGTGTTACCGATATACGAAAGGACTCCACGTAGCGGAGTTTCTCCATGAAGGAGCTTACTTTCTCCCCACCGCACCCCCCCCACCCCGCACCCCCTCCCCACCCGCCCCGGCCCCACTACCTTAAAGTGAAGTAGAAGCTCCAGAATTTCAACAGGGAACAGCACTTACCACTCTGTGCATGCGCTGCACCCAGTAATAGCAGCAAAAGCAAAGCTGGGGACGTAAAAGCCATTCTCTTCACTGTCTGTAACACGTAGCGCCCAAGGTAACTGATTTACTACGTGATCGTTTAGGACTGTTCTCGGATCAAGGTACAGAGGGCTTGCAGGTAATTGCTCAAGTTAATCAGCTGTGAGACTGCTGATAGGTTTCCCCCAAAATATTTACACGTACTGTACTGCGCTACTTAAAGCTGCCTTTTACATAATTGGGAGTGGTGTTTGGTATCGCAATGTATTGGAGTGTTAGCCCAGGGCTGTGAGGTCAAAGTCTTGTCGTGGGATCCAAACCCACAACCACAACCTTCTGACTCAGGGTTCGAGAGCGCTACCATCTGAGCCACGCTGGGAATGTAGGATAGAGAGATATTCCCGCCCCTCCCTCCATCATACACTGAGCTACTGGGTCAGTTTGGCTGTTTTGCACGATTGCTCAAAAAAGAGTTGACAGAAGATTTACTGTATTTCTTTGAAGTTCTTGTGCCACTGAAACTCCAGTGACTGCCAAAGTAGCACCGTGCTTTATACAGGCAGAAGTTATTCATGTCACTTGCGCAGTTTAAGAGACTGAAGTTCGGTTGTTCCAAAGTTTTTATTGCCTTCTAAGATGGAGTTCTAGTCCGCTGAATCACAGGCAGGTATTAAATCTAATAGGATCACATTTTCAATAGAGCTGTGGTTTTGAACAATCTTCCTCAGTGCAATCTGAACAAATAGATACTTGATCTGAACATAAATAAATAATTCTAGCGTTTTAATGTATTCCTTTTGTGTAGAAATCCTTCCTGGCTATGACATTACCTGGACAGCTTCTTTACTGAGGTTTAAACCATGTTGCTTTCAATCTAATGACCTGTTATTTACTTTGTGACAAGCTACAGGGGGGAGTGAGATCCAGGAACAATAATATTCTCCAGCCTGGCTTACATAATGGGCGAGCCATCCATATCGGGTAATAAATGGGCAATAAATACTGAACGAAAAATGTGACTGAATCTCTGCCCACTTGCAACTTACCCCCGCAACTGTTGCTCATGGTGAAGCTCAGCAAGACCATGTACACGGCAAATAGCTCTCTGCGTGTCACAGGGACATTGAATGTAAGAACGAATGTCAAATTTGTACTACATATTGATTTGGCTGCTTGTTATAGAAAGGACATCACCGTGCTGACAACAGGATATCCACCAGCTTGCTACCAGGGAAGATATAATATAATGTACATTTATATGATATCGCGCCCGAGTGAGGGGTTGGGTGGTTGAAGAGAGTGGGGTAGGGGCTGGAGAGTGATGCACAGCAGTTTGGTAGGGTAAACAGAGACCCTTTCTGTTGATCGGTAAACATCAGCCGAAGCGATTAAATAAATTAAGAAGCAAAGGGGGGATTGGAAGAAATTTATTTGCACAGAGAGCTGTTAAGACCATGGGCTGATAAAGCTGAATCCGTAACAGTGATCTTTTTAAAATATATTTATATACATTATGTGTGTTAAAAGCAAAATAACATGTACTCCATCCAATCCCCTATCAATTACAATGTGTTCAGGAGGTTGTGGGCTTGAAGCTCTGTACTTCCCCTTGTTTACATCTCGCTGGCAATGATTGAGATGAATTCTGTCAGTGTTCAGATTGAAAGTGAAGGGTTTTCCCTTGAGCGGAGGATGTGATTGAAGGATTCAACGCTTTTTTTTGTTACATGTTTCCTTCCAAGCAGATCTGTAATAATAAACCTTGCGTTTGATACAGAGCCCTTATCACGTCGCTGAGATATCTCAAAGCGCTTCACAAGATGTACTGTGAAGAGAATTGACTGTGTGTTTTGTGGGCGATATAGATATTGCAACCTGATCACACAGAAATTCGCAGCCTGGGTGGACAATTCCACCCATTAATCTGAAGCAGGTCAAATAGACAAAATAATAATAATAACAATAATTAATAGTTATGGTCGCATTTTGATCCAGCACCTTGTGCTGCCAAAACAACTCACAGCATGATCGAGACGTCTTCAAAGGTTTTTTTTTACTAGGAAGTGCAGCTGTATTTTTACTGTGAACTGCAACGACTGTGTATTTTGTAGGCGAGCGCGGCAGCCAATTTGCACACAGCAATGCCCCACAAACAGACCGGGAAGTGAATAACCATTTTCTTATCTGGAGGAAATTATTGAAATAGTGTCATGATATCTTTAACGTCCACCTGAACAGGTAGATGGGACCCTTAACAGTTGATCTGGAGGCTGGCATCTCTGACAATGCATTGCTCCTCCAGGGTTGTATTGGAAAATCAGGCAATTAGCCTCGTCTATTTACTATTAGCTTAAAGTGCTTACAAGGGGCTTGAACCCACAACCTTCTGACACAAAGATGGGAGTTGTACCAATTATAGTTAACAGCCAGTCTGACACCCAACTCAAGTTGTGGATGGGACCCATGTAAACAAGAATTGCTTTAAATCTTCTCTCTCGTCATTCTGCAGATCAAAAAGACCCTCTTCGGTTCAAATTGTAAGCCGTTTTTACCTGAATCACATAAATGATATGAGTAAGAACTTGTCGGTTTTGACTGTGCTTCTCAATGACTTTGCTACAAAATGTTGTTTAAAAACAGCTACGAAAGTGGAAATGTTTGTTTAAAACCAAAGTAATCCTTTCACTGATTTCAGTCTCTCGCCTCCAGGTCTTATGTTCCATCTTCTGGATTTCTGTCGGGTGAGGGTGGTGAGTTGTCAGTTACCTAACGAAATCTCAATCTTTTCATTGCGAGTTCTAAATGTGCTCAGCTATCAATCAATGCTGTGTTTATGTACTGGTGGTGATGGTAAGAGAGGTTCTAGGAGAAAAAATGGAGGCAGTACTGGTGATAGGATAGAGTGGGAGTGAATCTCTGCGATCTGATTGAATCCTGATTATCGGTATAACAATTTCTTCATTTAACACCGAGATATCGTCCACTCTCATCTCTTCGTCGATCTGCTCCATTTGCCGAATGTTCTCTTCCTCAAATTGGTTATGGTAATGGTGGCCCATGATATCGTCCAACCAATCGTCTCGCTCTAGGTCAGGTCCAAAGATCCAATCTGCGGTCAAACGCGAGATAGCTTTGAAGTTAAAAGTTAAAAAGTTCATGTTCTGCATCTGTACGAAGTCAATGGCTCACTGCAACAGGTTCACCGAATCATTCCTGATCGATCACTCAAAGAACATTATTGTATTTTTATATAAGAACATGAGAAATAGGAATTGGAATAGGCCATTCGGCCCCTCGAGCCTGCCCCGTCATTTCATACGATCGTGGTTGATCTTCTAACCAAATTCCATTTACTCGCCCTATCCCCATATCCCTTAATCCCTTTAGTTTTTAAAAATCTATCGATCTCAGTCTTGAATATGTTCAATGACTGAACAGCCACAGCCTTCTGGGGTAGAGAATTCCATAAATTCACCATCCTCTGGGTGAAGAAATGTTTTCTCAACTCATAATAATAACGTTATTAGATTATTATTTAATGTGACTCTTCTGTTTAAAAGGCTAAGTCAAAGAAAGCGAAACATTCTCACACAGAACCCTATCAAGTTTAAAATTACATTGAAACCGGTGTTGCATTGTCGGATATTTGAAATACATATCAACAATAACTTGACTAAGAGTTTGTAAAAATATTTTCTGATAATTGTGAACATCGCCAAATGCAGAGAACACAAAAAGCCACAGATGCCTGGTGTCTTGTAACCTATTTCATTTGTATTTAAAGCTGTAGTTTTTGCAGAACGCAGGTCATTAAGTATTGCCGTTCTGCTATATACAGGTATCAGTAAACTACCAACTATCCAGTAACTATTTATATTACACTTGAATTGTTTTGACGCTGTATATTATAAAACACATAGTTTTGGCAAGCAGAATCGTAAACTTTGAACATAACTTTCGACCACGCTATCCTACTCCACCGCTTGTCCTCCCACCTCAACCTTCAAGGCACTGTCCTTGAATGGTTTAGCTCTTACCTTTCCCACCGTCTTCACTTCGTCTCAACGAATGGCTTCTCCTCCACCCCCCGTACTGTCTCATGTGGTGTCCCTCAGGGCTCTGTCCTCGGTCCCCTCCTCTTCACCCTCTATATGCTCCCCCTCGGTGACATCATCCGCAAACATGGGGTTAACTTCCACATGTATGCGGATGACACCCAACTCTACCTTTCCTCCTCTACTCTCAACTCCACGACCACCGATGTCCTGACAGCCTGCCTGTCCGACATCGAGTCCTGGACGAGAGACAACTTTCTTCAGCTCAACGTGCGAAAAACCGAGGCCCTCCTGATTGGCTCACGTCAGCGCCTCCGCACCTCAGGCGCTGACACCATCAGCATCCAAGGCTGCACTCTCCACCTCTCAAAGCCAGTCAGGAACCTCGGCGTTTTGTTTGACCCTGAGCTGTCCTTTCTCCCTCACATCCGCACCACAACTGGCACCGCCTTCCATCACCTCCGGAATATCGCCAGATTACGGCACTACCTCACCCCTCACGCTGCTGAAACCCTGGTTCACGCCTTTGTCACCTCAAGGCTGGACTATGGGAACTCTCTCCTCGCCGGCCTTCCCGCCACCTCCCTCCACAAGCTGCAGGTCATTCAGAACTCTGCAGCTCGTGTACTGTCCCGCACCAGGCTTCGGGACCACATCACTCCTACCCTCGCTCGCCTCCACTGGCTCCCCATCCCCCAGAGGATTGATTTCAAGATCCTCATCCTCACCTACAAGGCCATTCACGGCCTTGCTCCCTCCTACCTCTCCAACCTACTATCCCCCTACCTACCTGCCCGTACCCTCCGTTCCTCTGGCTCCGGTCTGCTCCACGTCCCCCGCCCCAACCGCCCTACTATCGGTGGTCGGGCCTTCAGCCTCTCAGCCCCGAGGCTCTGGAACTCCATCCCCCAGTGCCTTCGCCTTGCTTCCTCCCTTTCCTCCTTCAAGGCCGGTCTCAAAACCTTTCTCTTTGACCGAGCCTTCAGCTCCCCTCTCGACTCTCTTCCTCCTCCTCGCTCCCTCCCTTCCCTCCCCTCACCCTGACCATTTCCCCCCTCCTCTCTCCCTCCCTCCCCTCACCCTGACCATTTCCCCCCAATGCTCGGGTCATGACCCAACTGTGCAGCGCCTTGGGACGTCCTCCTGACGTGAAAGGCGCTCTATAAATGGAATCTTGTTGTTGTTGTTGTTGTTGTTTAATGCTAATTTTACATATACATCAAGTGCTTACTGATTGTGAATAGTAATAATAATAATCCTTGCATTCGAGACTTCTCAAAGCGCTTTACAGAACATGAATTGACTGTATATTTTGTGAACGAATCGCGGCAGCCAATTGCACACAGCAGCGTCCCACAAACAGTCGTGGATTGAAGTGACCAATTTATTATTATTTTTAAAGTTATTGTTGCTGGCAACCCGCAGTTAAGCGACTTACCTGCAAAGTCATGAACCAAATCTTTGATAAGATGTCCTACGATGGCATACGCTACAGCCACAACAATCAAGCCAGCCAAAAGCAAGTAGATGACATGTTTAGGAAGATGAATGGCATCCCTCGAGGGAGGCTTGTAGTCTATGTACACAATCTCCTCCTCTTCCTTGGCATACTGGAAAAGGTGCTCCTTTCTCTCTGGGATATCAGTTGCATTTTGTGAATGGTTCGTAAAGGCAGAGCTCATTAGTGTTCCCACAGTCGCACTTCCCAGCTGCATTGTACTCAACTGAATAGCAAAAAAAGATACAACCCCATACCGAAACAGCATTACGAACTGCCTATTCCTAAACACAGATTAATCCCTGGATCGAAGCCAGTCATTCTTTCCTTTGGCTCTCATAATCCCCTTCTGTTCTTAATCCTTTACTATCCCTATTCCTATTTCCTGCAGCTACAATGAATGGATCCGCGGCTAAAACCCTTAAAGTACTCCCAATTATAAATGTAGATGATCATTTGGTAAACCGGTCTATAGTTAATTAGTATATTTACTAAAAGGTGATCCGATACAAGCGAAAGGAGACAGGCCAGGTGGTCAGGGTCTGTAACTCCGGTTAAAACCTGATAAATATTACTGTCAAAAGGTCAGAAAATACATTTTTGATAACATGCAGGATATTGCTTTCCGGGGTAACAATCCCTTCAAAAAAAAATGTCGTCACTCAATCCACGATTGTTTGTGGGACGCTGCTGTGCGCAATTGGCTGCCGTGTTTCGCCCACAAAATATAGTCAATTCACTTTACAGTGTGTTCTGTGAAGCGCTTTGGGACGTCCTCCCGACGTGAAAAGCGCTATATCAAATGCAAGGATTATTATTATTATTATTACTCTCCCATGCAAATACTCTTCCCTCCACACTTAACATAAGAGTGTGTTTTCCCACAAAATAGTCACTCCATTTTAGCCTGTGCTGTGAATTGAGCTATGGTCACTTCCGCAAGAATGAGAGGCAGTCAGCCACAGTTTTTCGATAACTCCTAGCAGTTGTTTCAAGGATAGCTTGTTTTTGGCCAGGAAACATGAATTACTGTATATGAAAATGAAATATTCCTGGTACATTTCTGATCTATTTAAAGCTTTAAGCAATGCACTATAAAAGGGCTGGAAGACACAGTGTGTGTGTGTATGTGTTTGTGGGGTGGGGGCAGAAGAGAAAGCAATTTATTAAGATCAAGCTCATTACTTACCAGGGAATTTAACCAAATTAATTGCACTGTTGTATTACCAATTTGATCAATTAAACATCTCAAAATGTATCTGATGTAATGCAACACTTTTTTTGTACAAAGCATTATTGATTTGCAATCAAACTTGCCTTGTCATTGCGTGTGTCAGATGGGAGTATTTAAGGATTTATATTAAGAAGATTGTGTGTTGGCCGGAAGAATATTGTACAATGAGCTTGAAAGAGGTCAAGGATAGCGCAAAATAGGCCAAAAATATACATTGTGTGTAACTGGTATTGATTACATTACATTTAGTATTAAGTTTAATACTAAAGCTCCAGCCCTCAGAAAGAGAAAAACATAATTACATGAGTTTTGTAGATTCTATAAATATATAGTTTAATCAGCTTATGGCACAAATAAGCAGCTATAAATAAAGAGCTGTTAAAAGTACAACTAGTGTTGCAAATTTGAATAAATAGAACATAATTTGATGCGAGAAAGATTGATAAATGATTGATTCATATGAAGTAGAGATGTACCTCTATCTCTAACCTATATTAAACAAAGGTATCAGTGAGTCACTAAATAGAGTCTCTATTGGTGCTCACTGATTTTTATAAGATTTCCTTTGAGAAAACCACACAGAACTTTTTCGTCAATTTACTTGGTGAATTTACTGGATGTGGTGGTGTATGCTTGCTCATTATGGGATGTTCTCGCACCGCCAACTTCTGCAAATTAATTAAGCAGCAAAGAACGAGGTGTACTGTGCTCACCTGTCAAGTCAGTAAATTTAAACCATCAGAGAATCAGGCTTAGAGTATCTAAATACAGATCTCATCAGGGAGCACAATAATTCTCGGCAAAACTCTCTGGTTTGCACAGACCAAGTATCGACTGATACGAAGAGAAAGGACAGGTTTCACACCGACACTACAGTGCTAAACATCGGGGAAATAACAGGAGCAACATCTGTGATCAACAAGAGTCGACACAAAACCCTCCCATTGCTCGGAGATGTTTATTTTTAAGTGGCATAGTTCAAAATAGGTCGCGTTATGAAATCAAATGGATCTATTGTTTCTTGGTGATCAAGTGTAAACAGGGGCTTGGATTCTTGGGATATGTTTTCCTACAGCCAGCAAAATTTAACTTAAAACAAATGTAGGTCAGTCAGGTGGCAGAAAGCATTTTGAACACAAATGTGTGTTTATAAGCCTTTCCGTTTGATTTAGAATCTGATCACGTCGATATGTCTCAAAGTGCTTCGCAGAATATTCTATATAGTAACTGTATTTTCGGGGGGTAACTGGGTGGCTGACACATGTGGAAACCCATCACCATGTTTAAGAGTATCTGGGAATTCCATGCATCCCATCCACTTGTCGGCAAACTATGAACCTTTCAGATTAAGCATTGGGTAACACACATTCTTGAACGTTTAAGACGGAAGACTACAGGAAGAACATGTGGCACTGGTGATACACACAGCTTTGTACAGCAAGTTACAGTCTCAGGGTTTACTGTATTTACAAAGTCTAGTCCTCTTCATCTTTTATTGGAAGATGGTTTTTCAGTAGGTGAACAAAAGAGGTGTACATCTTCCTACAAATTATTTTTGTTCCATTTAACCAATCCATCTGCATACTGGAACTCCTGATTGTTCTCGTACTCCAACATGTCCAATGCCACCTCACAGCTCTCTTTCACCACACGCTCTCCGTCCTGCAGATATTCTTTCAACACCTGAATGCACGGCTCCTTGGCAATTGATCCCAGAGCCTCTGCACATTCGTGTCGGACCATGGGACTTTCATCCAGTTTTTTCAACGCTTCGATAAGTTGGGGAACGCTGGCTTCGTGTTGCATCTGACCGAAGACGTAGCCAATTTCGTGTCGGAACAAAGCACTGCCACACTGTAAGCCTGCGGAGAGGTAGGAAGCACAGAGCTGTCGATAACTTTGTTCAGAAACATTTGACAACTGTATGTGACTGGTCATCGACTGTATGGTACTCACAGGGTTTTAGAGTGAGTCAGTTATGTTATGTCATGTTATGTTATGGAACGATTATCGACAGAATGGTAACAGGCTGCTGGGCATTACTGACCCGTACTCTCCATATAAAAATAATGCTAAAAAATATTTTGCTTTAGCCACATCACACAGTGGTGGAAAATATAGAAACTTCCTGCATTAGCAACTGTTACAGGTGACGGCAGTAGGTATTTGAGCAAAAGGGCAGGAATTTGGTAAAGGGTTTCATTTCTTCGAATATTGCAGAAGTAGAGGGGAAAGTTACTCCCTTATATATACATATTATAGTAATATAATAATCCTTGCATTTGATATAGTGCCTTATCACGTTCTTCAATATGTCTCCAAGTGCTCCACAGAATATACTGTAAAGTGAATTGACTGTACATTGTGTGGGCAGAGCAAAGCTCCCCTGATCAGCCAACAATGTGACAGCACCCTCTACTGTACCTATATGACATTTCCATTTCATTTCCAAATGATATTAGTCAATATTCGTATATCCATACAGAACTCATTTAAACTTGTGGCTAAATTAATCTCTCTGCATTGCTGGTCACAGAATATCTTCTGTTTCAAATGGGGTTTTCTCAAATCTTCTCCCTGAAGCTGTCTCCTCTTTCATGCCAAAATGTACTTTTTTTCCCCCTTCCCCAATATCGAATCTGATCTTAACTACCGCCCCTGGATTTACTTTATTTTTCAAACCTTGGTGGTAGCTTTCATTCTGGAACTATTGTAGAAAATGTACAATATATAACTGGATGTGGAGAAAAAAAAAACACATAAAAATAGTTCATCAACTTCACTTTATGAAATGTCATTCCCCCCCCACCCCCACCCACCCCAATTTATTGGACTTGATATAATCACGAAACAAAAAAAAACTGACAGGACTTACCTTCGCCTAAAGCCAGAACTGCTTCTTCACTTCCAATATTTCGCAGAGCAAAGATAGCTCTGTATCGGTCAAACAAAGGAACAGATTCGTCCAGGAGAATGTCCCTCAACTTTTTAATATCTTTTTCTTGGGCTGGGGGAGCAGGGTCCACAGAGTGATATGGGTTTCCAGTTTGCTCTTTGTTGTTCTGAAGCCATTCAATGCGCTTTACTGCCAGCTGGCAAGTCTCAGCGACCTGTAAATCTCAATACAAAAGCAGTGTTGAAGGGAGCGTCACATAAGATGACGAGATATCAGAAAGCTTTAAAATTGCATGAGCATTGATCTTCACTACAGAGCAGGAAACAATACAGTACCTTTGATTGTAAAACTCTTTCTCTCTGTCCCCCTAAAGCCTTATTAAAATATAATGCACTACTAGGAAATAGTGAGGACATTTTTTAATCCCTCACTCTCTATAGTCCTAAAAAGCGCTGACATTTTGGCTCTGATACCCAAGTTCCAAAAGTTGCTCCCTCGTGTCAACCAGGAGTCATTTGGGAATTATAGGTTTGAGATGCGTGCAGAGCTAACGGGAGATCCGAATCCAAGTTCTTTGGGAAATTTGTAGCTTGGAATACCAGCCATTTGGCAACACTAGTTATCTCCAGAGGCAAGTTTGTCTCAGGATGTGGAAATGACTTTATAGACAACCCCATTGCCTGTATTATCTTACCTCTACTACTGGATCATGTGAGTATTGCTGCAATAATTCAAGGACTTCAGGTTTTCCTATGGCTCCCAAAGCTTCACCTGAAATAAAAACACATTGGAGCTTCACAAAAAAAAACTAAAAGTCGAAACAATAAATTGTTGGGCCAGGACACCAGGAGAGAGAAACTCCCTTCTCGTTTCCAATACTACCTCTGGATCTTTAACGTCCACCTGGAAAGGCAGACAGAACAGGACCTTGGTTTACCGTCTCACCTGAACGGAGGCAACTTCGACAACGCAGCGCACTGTAGTGGAGCGAGCGTCAGTCAGCCTGGACTGTATGCGAGCTCAAAGTCTGGATGGAGAGCGCAACGTGAAAAGCTCGATGGTTTGAGCTGGTCAGACGCCAGCAGTACCCACCCCCCAACACCCAACGCACACTCTGGCGTCCCAGAGACTTGGTTCCTCAAGCGCTCCGGGTCGCTACCCTGCGCGAGGGTCGGGCTACGAATGAAAAGTCATCGTCGCTGCTGTCGTCGTCGTCGTCCCTGCCAACCTGCGCCTCACACTTGCCGGGTAGCAATTGGGTAAGAAGCAGGACATGTCCCTCCTGGGGTGTGAGAGAGAGAGAGAGAGAGTGGGAGCGTGCATTCCCAATCCAATACACGTTACTTGGGATTGGCAGGTGTCGGTGGTGGTGGGGGGGCAGTGGTTGTGTGGGCGTGAGGGGGTGGTGTGGGGGGAGGGGTGCAGGGAATTCTCAGGCTGGGGGTTTGGAGACTCTCTGAGCCAGCAATAGGTGATGGGGTTTCCAGGTGGGTCAGACACCCCTCAATCAGTCAATCAATCAATCAATCCACCAATCAATCAATACACCAATCAATCAATCAATCCACCAATCAATCAATACACCAATTCATCAATCAATACACCAATCAATCAATACACCCATTCATCAATCAATACACCAATCAATCAATACACCAATTCATCAATCAATCCACCAATCAATCAATACACCAATTCATCAATCAATACACCAATCAATCAATACACCAATTCATCAATCAATACACCAATTAATCAATCAATCCACCAATCAATCAATCAATCAATCAATCAATCAATACACCAATCAATCAATACACCAATCAATACACCAATCAACCAGTGACTGACCGGCTTCATGCCTGACCATGGGCTCCTGGCCGGGGTCCTGCAGCACGTGGCTGAGCACGGGCAGGGCCCGCGGGTCCTGGAGCTGCCCCAGACAGTAGGCCAACTCGTGCTTGAGCAGCGCCGACCCGTCCCCGAAGCCCCTGGAGATCCAGTCGATGGCCTCGGGCCCCCCGACGTTGCGTAGGGTGAAAAGCGCCCGGAAGCGCTCCCGCAGCGGCTTGGACGCGTCCAGCAGGGTCGTGCCGACCGACTCCAGCGCCTCGGCGCCCAACACGGCTCCCTGCGCGGCGGCCGGCATCGCTCGCGGAGCAGTCCTCCAAGCGCCACCAGGTAGTCCTCCAAGAGCCCGGCGTCCTCCGCGCTCGGCCCGACACCTCGCTCCGTTGAGATGGGTGGGCGGGATTGGGCTGGTTTCACGCCCGTTGGGGGCGGGTTTTGTCGTACTGTGCGTAAAAATACGCCCATTGGGCGGGTTTTGTCGTACTGTGCGTAAAAATACGCCCAATTGGGCGGGTTTTGTTGTACGGTGCTTGAAAACACGCCCAATTGGGCGGATGCCTAAATTTTTGCACAATTTGAACCTGTAAATCTCCCCCCCCCACCCCACCCACCCCCACCATTTAATGAGTTTTTCATACACCGTTTGAAAACTACTAATCTAAATTACCCACTCTGCTACCCATAGTAGGCGACACAATAATATTGGGCTACTTTTGGGCTACTGTTTGGGTTTTCTTTGTGCTACAAGTGTCTTCATTTATTGGCAACCTGGGGAGGGGGGAAGAGAAGGAATGGGTCCCCCTCCCTCCCCTGAATGATTATTCAAGTTAGTTTGTCATTTTTAACCTTGTACGATGAGGTCTTTGGATTGTACAATTTGGAACTGTGTGTGATTGTGATTTCCTGGTTGGTTGAGTGACATCTCTGTCCTGCATTTTTTTCCCAAGTACTGTTTATCTTATTTGCCCTATTATTCCTCTTCGTGTTGCCTTTTCAAATGTATTCTGTTTGTAATGTACATGCTAAGTGCGCTTTCCTTTGGTGGTATACTTGCGTATTTGTGTTTTGCGGTTATTTTTTCTATCATCATTCCTTCCAAATGTTTTTCGCTGTTCATTTCATTCATTTCCATCACCAAATTACTGCATAATTTTCAGACTACTATTTAATAAACTATACTAGAATCCTTCTAAGGAGGGTGACTGACAAGCATACTGCCCCTTTATCTCAGAACTGCTGTTCAACTGCATTTGCAGTGAAACTCCCTATAATGTAGAGGAAGATAAAAGTACATTCTTGTATCCTTTTAATTATTTTAGGATGCCACCTCATTGTTAACCACAGAAACAGATGAAGGTCATTTGAAGCCCACCGTACCAGTTTGTTAGATCTTTTAATGCCCCCTTACCGTCATGAAGTATAAAGAGACGTCTCTTTTTTTAAATTAAAAAACAAACAATATGATACAGGCTTTATTGCATCAGTATACAATACCAAGGCATTCCTAGTCAGAATAGAGATAAAACCACACTGAAAAATTATCATACATTATTTACAACTTCTGCAAATGCAACATCGAATACAACCTAGAACGCCATAGATAGAGACCTAACTATCTTCCGGACCCATAAAGTAAGCAGCCAATACCTGTCGGATTTCTTCTGCTTTGCTATCAATCTGTCTGTCAGATTCTGTTTGGTTTGGCTGAGGAAATTCCTCCTGCCCAAGCACTCCCAGCCATTCATTATTAAAACCATCATTATGCTTTTCACAAACGTTGTGAAGAATGCAGCAGGCGGTGATCATTGTCGGAATCAGTTCAAGGCTACAGTCATTCCTTTTGAGAAGACATTGCCAACGTGCTTTGAGTCTGCTAAAGGCATTGTCTATCACAGTGTGAGCCTGGTTTAACCTGCAGTTAAACACAACTTGATGCTGTGAGAGCTTTCCTGTTTCCAAATACGGCTTCAGTAACCATTCCTGCAGTGGGTATGAAGAGCTGCCTATCAACAGGTATCTCACGGGAGTTCCCCTGATGATTCTGGGGCAAGCGGGAAACAACTTTCCTTCAGTAGCCCTCATCCACACATCAGAATTCTTCAGAATTTTTGTGTCAAGAGTACTCCCAGAAAATCCAGCACAGACGTCCCAGAAATTACCAGTGCCATCAACCACACCTTGCAAGACAACCGAATGCCATCCCTTTTTGTTTAAATAATCTTTGTGATACTGTGGCGGGGCAATAATGGGTATATGGCAACTATCAATAGTACCAACACATTGGGGAATGTCCCACTTGATGCCATACGTCCGATTCATAGTCTCAAATTCCTGATTGGTAGGCAGTCTTAGATACAGAGGCTTTAACAGAGACACAATGGCGTAGCAGACTTCTCTCACACATTTACACACAGTTGATCGCCCTATTCCAAACAGATGACTTATTGTTCTATATTCAACATTCGTAGCTAGTCGCCAAAAGGCCACTGCAACTCGCTTTTCCAGTGGCAGTGCTGGTCGAAGGTGAGTGTTTCGGCGAGACACCATGGGTTTCAGCTTATTACACACGTGAAAAAATGTTTCCTTAGACATTCGGAAATTTTCCAACCAGTCGTTCGGCTGAAATTCCTTCATGACCACGCGTTCCCACCAGTCCGAACTTCTAGGCTTGCACCAAATTCTTGTTCGACAGTTACACCTACTACCTCCACGGGCCATGACCATCTATAAACAATACGAAAAACATTTCGAAGTTCAGGAACTGGAGGCTGGTTTGATGGAGAACTTCACTTTAAGTACACAGTGTAAGCTGGATGTTCACATTGATTTAATTACTCGATTTAAAGTTGCACAGAGTAAAATCAAATTAAGACATTTAACACTTGATTGTCAAAGCTTGCTTAATAGTACAATACTGCATTTCTAAACTCTCCGCTCTCACCTCCAAAATAGCCAGCTCTAAAAACCCAATTAATTTCCCCGCCATTCACCTCAAAGCACTCCTCTTGCTCCGTTATAATAATAAATTCGCCCACAAAATACACGGTCAATTTACTTCATAGTATGTCATGTGAAGCACTTTGAGACATCTCAAAGGTGATAAGGCTATCAGTCACCCCTATGTTTTCAATGCCTGTGTTTAAAATACGTTCTGTAAAGTTTGTGTGTTCACTAAAAGCATAAGCCAGTGTGAGTGTAGTTAGTAATTACCGATTGCGCTCGGCGAAGCTCAAACATGCTGAAGTTTGGTAGAACTGGTCCATGCGTGTTATTAACTATATTGAGTTGTCCTTTAATTTTTTTTGTGTATTTAATGGTTTTGATACTTATGGTGCCATCAAGTCTGACTCAGGCATTGACTGCAACAATTTGGTGGGCAACTGACGGCCTATAATTGGCATAAGTGGCGAGGAAGGCGCCCGGTTTCCTTATTGGGTCACTTAAACGATGATTTGGATTGGACCATAAGAAAGGCAACAATTACACCAAAAAATAATTGGTGCAATACAATTACCATTGAGGGCCTTAATTTGGGGTGGGGCTCAAAGCCCATAAAAGAACGAGCGCCAATGCTCTGGGTTGCTATTTTTCCTACCTGATTACGGCGAAAAGGTACGTGTTCTGACTATTGATGAGTAGAGGTTGGTTCTTCGTGCACTTTACATTAACTTCATTACAAGTGGCTTCTAACCTGTTTAGTTTAAGTGTGATTAATGTTTGTTATCTTAAAGTTGCATTTATTGATACTTATTGTGCCGTTAAAGATTTAATACCGAGGGTTGTGCATTTCATCGAACCTACAATAAAATTACGTTGAGTTTACTTAGCTGTGCTTTCTCAAACTTTCTGTATAAATCAAAGGAGGACACTCAACACAGGTTGAGTCTACATCACAGTCTGTTTAGAATAAAAGACTGATGATGGAATTGTCCCAATTTGCTTTAATTTAAATAGTACCTGTCGATGTGGAAGAACTCATTAGTCAACTTACACCTAGTTATAGGGACTTGCATTCATTAGTGAGGATTGACCACAGAGGCCACGCAGTACACTCTGCAAGGGGAAGGAAGCCATATCATGGATCGACATATATGGGTAACCAGATAAGAACCATCTCAAGGCACTATCTCAAATATAAGGATTATTATTAGTATATTATGTAAAGCGCTTTGGGACGCCTCAACGACGTGATAAGGCGCTACATCAAATGCAAGGATTACTATTACTATTGTAAGTAATAATCCTTCCATTCGAATCAATGCCTTTCACGTCTCAAAGCACTTCATGTGGCTCGCGGTGAAGTGCGGCAGCCGCGTGTTAACGCAGGCGAACGCAGCGGCCAAAGTTCACGCACGGTGGGCGACATCCCGCAAACAACCGCGGAGCGAACAGCCTATGTTATTTGAAATACGACAAGAGATTTTTGTACCCGGGACACCGACCGAACGGTGATGAGCTGGTTTGGTTTGGGGTTTGGGGTGGGGGGGGGGGGAGAAGGCAAGGGAACTCCTTCAATAATAATCCTTGCATTTGATGTTGCGCCTTATCAGGTCTTCAAGGCGTCTCAAAGCGCTTCACGGGACTGACCTACCGGTACGTTGACGCGGACTATATTTTGAGGGCAAAAGCAGACAAATGTCTGCAACAGGATAGGGAAAAGCTGGAAATACAGTACAAGGATGGTTTGGGGAAGGTTCCCCCCCCAACCCCCTCTGTCTTAGGAAGGTCATTCATCTCCTGGCTTTAGAGTTAGTGTCGAGTCGGGGTCGGAGGGAGGAAGGCAGAAGAAGAGAAAGAGGAGTCAATGAAGGAGAGGGCAGGAACAGTTCAGCCCTTTGTGCGTGACACGAAAAAAAAGGAAAGGGGGGGGGGGAGAGAATTAAAAAAAAGACCTTCCCCCTCCTCCAAAAAAAAAAATTCTTTTGTTTCCTACCAATATCATCTTCCTCTGTCGCTGCTGGAAGTACTGCCTCATCCTCAGCCGCCTCTGAGCGTCGTTCCTCCTCTCGAGGTTGGCGCCCTCCACCTCGGCCCGGCGCTTCATCAGCAAGTAGAGGAACAAGAAGAGCAGAGGCAACGCCGCCTCGTCCGCCATACTTGTTTCTCTCTCTCTCTCTCCTCTCTCTTTCTCCTCCCCTCTCTCTCTCTCTCTCTCTCTCTCCTCTCCCCGTTTGTTTTGGGAGCCGCTTCGAAACCCCGGGAAGAGCTCCAGCGGCGGCGTCGACCACAGCGAACCCGCCCCCTTCCCTTCCTTGTCACCCCCCCCCCCCCCCTCTTCCCTCCTTTCCCTCTCCTGTTGTCTGAGGAGAGGGGGAAGGGGGGAGAGGGAGAGGGGGGGGGGAGAGAGAGGTAGAGAGACGGACTTGGAAGTGAGATTGATGGAGAGACCGAAAAGAAGGAAAGGGCAGAGAGAGAGAGAGAGAGAGAGAGGGGTTGAGAAAGGAAGGGGAAGAGAGGAAGGGGGGAGATGGAGAGAGAGAGAGTGAGAGGAGGAGAGAGATAGAGGGAAGGGGAGAGAGGGAGGAAGATACGGGAAGGAGGGGGGAGAGAAGACGATCGGAGGAAGGCAGAGAGGGGGAGAGGAAGAAGAGGAAGGGAGGGAGAGGGAAGAAGAGAGAGGGAGGAAGAAGGGGGGAGAGAGAGAGGGAGGAAGAGGAGGAGGGAGAGTGGGAAGAAGAAAGAGGAGAGGGGTGAAGAAGAGGAGAGAGGGAGGAAGAAGAGGAAGGAAGATGGAGAGAGAGAGAGAGCGAGAGGAGCAGAGAGATAGAGGGAAGGGGAGAGAGGGAGGAAGGTACAGGAGGAGGGGGGGGAGAGAAGAAGATCAGAGGAAAGCAGGGAGAGGAAGAAGAGGAGAGGGAGGAAGGAGGGAGTGAGGAGGAGGAAGAAGAGGAGAGTGGGGGGAGGAGGAAGTCTTCAATGGCCTTTTTTCCAACGGTCGCTCCAAATCGGGTCCGTCTTCAAATCACACCGGGGGTGAGGGGGGGTCGGGGACCCCGAGCTGCTGCGCGGACCCGTGGCCTCAATCATTGATCCTTATTACTTGATGATGATTCATAATAATATAAATATAGACACGTTAAAAATAGCCAAAGCTTATTTCACGTCAGACGCCCGAGTTCTGAACTCTTTTATTGAGGTGTAATGAAAGCCTTTGGGTTGTGTTGTGCTGCAGGTGAGGAGGGAGGGGGCGGGGCGGGGGGGGGAGAGCGCGGAGCCGGTCGTCACGGCGACGGTCGCCACGGCAACAGCCGGTCGCCAGGGCGACGACGGACGGCGCCCTTTTTTATTTTGTCCGTTGAGATTCAAAACGCCCGCCGACGTCACAAAGGTAACGGTCGCCGGCCCAGCCTGCACCGCGGCGGGTCGCGCGGCCGCCATGTTCTTCTGAGGAGACATAGAAGCCCGGGGGAGGAAAGCCTTTCGACTCGACATTATGTGGGAAAAAAATACCTAATTTCTACACGCACTCACACGCGTGTATATATATATTTAACACAGATATATATATCGTTCGGAAACGACGCCCTCACTCTCCTCCCCGACTGCCTGACAACTCGCACCGCCGAAGGTACGCTCGAATTCCTGCCACTCTCCTCCAGCCTTGTTTTGTGTTCCTTTCTCTCCCTCTCTCCTTCCCTCCCTCCCTCCTTCCTTTTGGGGGGAGGGGGGGTTAACCGGCTCCAGGGAGTCCCGGGCATCCCTCCTGTCCTTTTCCGAAAGGGATTCGAGTCTTTTGTCTTGAGCTCGAGCGCCTGCAAAGAGGGGTGTTTTTGTTTGTTGCAATGGAACCGGTGTGAGGGGGTGTGTGGGGGGGGTTTCGCGGTGTGTTTGTGGCCTCACCGGTCAGACGTGTTGCTTTGGGGTTAGAATCGATCATCTTCAAGTCGATAACAGCGTCTCGAGATGTCTCGGCGCTTCACGGGACTCCGCTCTGCTGCAAAAGTGCAGTGACTTTGTGTATTTTTTTGTGCGCAATAATAATAATAATCATCATCATCATCCTCGCATTTGATGCGATAGCCCTCGTCCCGTCTTCGAGACGGCTCATAAAAGGGCTGCTGGGCAGAGTATACTGTAAAGTGAATTGACTGTATATTTTCTGGGTGAAACGTGGCAGCCCATTGCGCACAGCTTTGTCCCACAAACAGTCGTGGATTGAAGTGACCACTGTATTATTATTTTTTTTGAAGGAATTATTATTACCCCCCGGAAAATCAATCCACCTATCGACTAACAACCGAGTGCCTACTTACTGCTAGATAAACAGAGGCGTGTGGAGTAAGAAAACTTGCCCAGCATTTCTAGCAGCCGGGAAATGGCCACAAAGTGAATGACCCAATTTTATCTGGGGGATTGTTGGCCAGGACACGGGGAGAAACTCCCTTCAATCTTCAAAGAGTGCCATGGGATCTTTAATGCATCCACCTGAACAAGCAGAGGGGATCTCAGTTTAATGAATCACCTTAAGGATGGCATCTCTGTCAATGCAGTGCTCCCCCAGCACAGCATTCAAATGTCAGTTTTGACTTGAGTTTAAACGGGTTATCCGTTGACATTTGTCTCCAGTCCTCATTTGACCCGCAGCCTTTTGACAGTCATTTGCTCAACAATTCAAGCATAAGAGTTCCTCAGTGTTGATGACTAGGAAGTTGTTAATTAATAATTAGCCTAGATAAAGGCCATCCCTGTTTAATTCAAAACACAGCTAGGGTTAGGGTTATCTGAATATGCTTCTCTTGACCAGAAATTACAAAGGCGATTTAACAAGACATAATCTAATTGTTGTCTTCTCAATTTGTGGATTCAGCAAATATTTTAAATTAAACTGTAGGGCTTTTGCTGAAACAGTTGAGAGCTGATGAGTAAGTGGAAAGCAAATACAGTACTTTAAAACTTTACTGTGTTATGTGATGAAAATGGTATTAAGAGCAAGATTTTGGAGGAAGAATTTGTTTGGAACTTGACTTTTCAGAGATAATTCCAGTGTATACAACAACAACAACAACAACAAGATTACATTTGTATAGTGCCTTTCACATCGGGAGGACGTCCCAAGGCGCTGGACAGCAAACAGCATATCGAACCCGAGCTTGGGTCAGGGTATAAAACGTCATTCACATGAATTGTCAATATGGATTCTGCAGAATGATAGGTAATAAGTCATTGCCATAAAGCTGCTGCTGACAATTCATAAGCGTATGTATATAAAGGATATATGGTGAGCAGCTGTTTGACATAATTTATATCCCATGTGTTAAGGTTAGTTGTGGAATGTAAAGTTGTTTTCGCAACTGTTCAGTGTATGGAGAGGATGGTGCTTGCACTGATTCAATACTTGTATGCTATCTTGTCAGCATGCACATTTAAATATTGTTTCACACATCATAATCTTTGCAATTGATCTTGGGCCTTATCGCATTGTCGAGTTGTCTCAAAGCGTTTCAAAAGCTATACTGTAAAGTTGATTCACTGGATTTTCTGCATGATCTTATGGGCAAGCCAGTTTTTGCACAGCAATGTCCCACAAATAGCTATGGAGTGTGTGACCAATTTTATTTGGGTGAATGTTGGTCAGGACCAGAAGAGAGGAACTCCCGATTGGTGACATTAGTAGGTAAAAGTGACATTTCAGTATTAATAAAAAAAGAATTTGCATCTATATAGCACCTTTCACATAAAAACTAAACTTAGCACTTTTACATATTAACTAAGCAGCCACGTGGCAGTTTAATACAAGAGAAGTTTGGATGTTAACTGGAGTGTCAAATTGTTTATCTTCTTTTAGAACTGCCACTCGATTGAACTTGGTTATAGTTCAAGTCATCATAATTATGGATCAAGACTACAAACGGCGCCTGCTACGACAAATTAATGTTCAGAATGAAAACACAGTCCCTTGTGTAAGTGCTGTGCACAACAGTGTTCCATGAACAGCCATGAAGTGAATGACCAATTTTATCTTAAATAGTCCTCGCATTTGATGTAGCGCTTTTCACGTCTTCTAGACGTCTCAAAGCGCTTCACAGAATATACTGTAGAGTGAATTTACTATATCTTGGGGATTCTAGGCCAGAATTCCAGGAGAAGCTAGCTACCTTTTCTTTTGAGATAATGCAGGATTGTAAAAGTCCACCTGAATAGCTAGGCAGGACCTATCTCATCTGAAGCATGCCACCTCCCAATATGACCTTGCATTGGAGTATCAGAGTTCAAAGTGGCCGTTTGAGTCAGAAGCGAGAGTGCTATCAAATGAGTCAAGCTGGCACTTGATTGAATGTGTAAAGTTTACAAATGTGTTCGCTGTTCGGATACTAAACCTAAGAGGAGACTCCTCCTGAAGCTCGGTAGTGATTTAATAGTGATGTGGGACTGTGTTTTTATCCAGACTCGGATCAATTTTTTTTATATACGAATGGTCATGGGGAAAATTTCAATAAACCAAATTATTGGTATTTCTAAATTCTATTAACAATTAATAAACCAAAACATTCAATTATCTACTATTCAATTAACCAGATTTCACCATGATTTGATTTACGATGACACCCATTGGCTATTTGTTGGTAAATGCATCTTTGGGAATCCAAACGTACTGCTCTGAAAAACTAGGAAATTCAAATTGGGGAACAAAGCATACCAAGTTGATCCTGAATTGCACTGGACCGAGTGATTTGCTTACCACCATTCTTTTTCTTTGTTTCTTTAGATAACTGAAGTTAGGAGAACATTGACTCCTACAAATTCACCGGTATCATCACCAAGTAAAAGCGGAGATAGGTTTATACCTTCAAGAGCTGCTGCAAATTGGAGTATAAACTTCCATAGAATAAATGTACGTTTTCCATGCAATCATTGGTTTGCAAATTCCTTGGAATTTTTCTGAAGGTGATTGTACATGAAGTCAAAGATGAAATGAACATTGCTTTCATAGATCCTTGTTCTTCAATATAACCCTATTGATGAATTATAGTAATAATAAGTAGTAATAATTATTGTTGAACAGTATTGCTGCGCATCTTTTTCTACTGTATTCAAATATTGTGGCTAAAATTGAAACAACCAACAAAGGATTAATGCTCAACAATATAAAAACATGATCTGCTATCAATATGCTATTCTAAGAAGCTTGCTGTGGGTGTAAAGTGTAGTTTTGTCTCATTTTAGGAAAATGAAAAGTCACCGAGTCAAAATCGAAAGGCAAAGGATGCTACTTCTGACAATGGCAAAGGTTCAGTACCCACTGACTTCTTATTCACTACTTGTCATACTAGTGCTTATTGTCCAGGTTTTCATATGAATAATAGCCACTTGGGCAAAGTACCAGAGGCAGGTTGGTGCTCGTGGAATGATATCCTTGTAGAAGGAAATGCCTGAGAAAGAGGATACATATCCCCACAATTGCCCCACAATCCCCACAATCCCTGTGCCACTACCTTGTCCTCTACAGAATTTAAAAACAATGTTTTATATTAATGCTGCCTAAACTCTCAATAAAAAGGTGTTATATCTTTAGCATTCCTGATGAAGTGTTCTTTTTCTAAATCCGTTTCCTCTCGGCTTGTTTGGCAGATGGACTTGCTTATTCAGCTTTGCTTAAGAATGAGCTGCTGGGGGCAGGAATTGAAAAAGTTCAGGACCCTCAGACTGAAGACAGACGCTTACAGCCATCAACGCCTGAAAAGAAAAGTTTATTTAAGGTAATAGCAGCTGGACTTAAACAGAACAGCTGAATTGGTTTTATATCGTGCTGGGGAAACACAGAACCTGTTAGGTTCTTTGTCAAACAAAACAAAATACTGCAGATGCTGAAATCTGAAACAAAAACAGAGAGAGCTGGGAAAACTCGTCAGGTTAGGCAGCATTTATGGAGAAAGGAAAGTGAGATGAAGGGTCCAGTTCTGATGAAGAGTCATGGACCCAAAACATTGACTCACTTTCTTTTCACCATAGATGCTGCCTGAACTGCTGAGTTTTCCCAGCTCTCTCTGTTTTTGTTTCAGATTCTTTATCTAGATGTTCTTTGTTTCTTGTAATGAATGAATTGAGGATTATATTTACAAAACCAGTAAATGACTTTAAAAGTATTCCAATACCGTAACCTTGATTTGATATTAATTGATGCATGTTTAAACTCTGGGTCAGAACGTTTCTGAATTTGGGTTAATTGACTTAGATTTCCATTTTATGAAAGGCTTTGTCATCAGATACTGGGTTAATTGCAAAATTAGTGTAGTGGAAATTATTTACACCCAAGGACTACTGAATGTTACACAAAATGTATCACGTCAACCACAAAAAAGTACTTTTCTTAGCAATTACCGAACTTTCCTTTTATTCTTATCGGATGGATAGGTACTTAGTCATTTGTAGTTTGCTTAATTTTGATGTTTTACTAACCCCTTTCTCTTTTTGCTAACAAAATGTTTTGAGATTACTGAAATGTTTTCACTGCAGAATGTGCATGCTTTATATTAATTTCTTTAATCAGTTTAAAATGTCTTCTATTCACAGTATTCACTCAGCACTAAGCGTGCAAGTCCCGATGATGGAAATGATATCTCACCGTACTCATTATCTCCAGTTAGTAATAAAAGGTAATCTTGAACTGGGATTTAAATACATGCAGTATAGTCTTTGCGGTGTTGACGATTGTTCCCAGCGCGTTTGGAACCGATATCAGCAGTGCTTGAACTAAGATTTAGTGGTGTCATGAAAGTAGTACAGAAGTGTAAGCATCAGTGGTGAGACTTTGTTGGTACTGCTGTGTTACCTTTGCATAACAGCAGGGTTGGTACACTGAGCCAGGCACAAAAAAGTAGGTCACGACCTGTATTGTGAAACTTGTACACCAGTAAGAGTTGTGTGCCTCTGATGTTAACTACACAAATATATTCTGTCATAGCACTTGGCAGTAGAATTACTATTCAGAACCATAATTATGGTTTCCTTTGGTTGTAGAGTCCAATTGGTAAAAATTAGAATGCCCTGTGTTATTGGTTATAATCGCTACCAGGGTTAGCCACAAAGATATGTATTTCTTAGAGAAAGTAGCTTGTGAAACCTACCTATGCTTTGCCGTCTTAAACCATCTTATGCTATTTTGAACGTGACTTTAGGAAAAATCACAAACCAAATAAAATGCAATGATTCCTTTTATAAAAATGCGGTTAACATCTCAGGTCCAAAGAAATGGATCTTTAATTTGATCTTTTCTAAGTCTTTTATTTTTGAACTTCATGGTTCTCAAATTGAGGAATATGTGCGTAGAGGAGAACGTTTCTCTTAAAATGCTTTCCATGCAATATTAGCAACGGTTATTATTCGACTTGTACGCAGAAAAAAAACTCTGCGTGCAGTTCACCACCACAGTGCTACCAAGCCTCAGAAAAGCTTCCCTATTACTCTGCAATAGTGAGTTCTCTTTTCTTGCAACTTGTGGCCTTTCAGGTGTAGAATAACGGACAGTTTTGTACTGTGGTCCACAAGCTCACTAGGAAGTGGGTTGATTCTGCTAAAAACTGACTTCACATCACATCTTTACAGCCAGAAAATATTGCGAACACTTTAATTCTGTTAGCCTTCACCAAGGTTCATACATTTAGATTTCAGAAGTTAAAAAGTTTAGTGTTGCAACAAATTATCACCTATACTTCATTATTTTCATCATTCTGTGCTTTTTAAAGGCTGTTAATGTTATCTTAAGCAATATAATAATGCAATTTCTATATTTAAACTATTTCACTAAGTAACTTTGTTTGAAAGATTAAGTTTGCAATAAACCATAGAAACTATATTAAAGTTGCAGAGGGAATTATTTGAAACTAAGAGAGATGTTATTGAAATAATTGTTCTAGGATCATTATTAGGGTTAAAGGCGCTATACAAATGTAAAGTTGTTGTTGTATTAATTTAACTTATTTCTTGTACAGTCAAAAATTATTGCGATCACCGAGAAAACCCACTCGAAAAATATCAAAGATTCCATTTAAAGTTCTCGACGCGCCAGAATTGCAGGATGATTTTTACTTGAATCTGGTTGACTGGTCTTCCTTAAATGTATTGAGTGTTGGACTTGGTACCTGTGTATACCTCTGGAGCGCTTGTACTAGCCAGGTAAGATTCAACAGAAACATCTGCAGTCTATATAAATATTAGGTCTGTTACAATATGCAGCTTAATTGTTTTGGTTTGCCCACAAAACACAATCGCTCCACTTTACAGTATATCCTGTGAATCGCTTTGAGATGTCTTCCTGAAATGTAGCAAATGTAAGGATTATTATTTATTATTGTAAATTGAAGTTATGAGGTGTAGTGATAGTGTGTTTTTAAGAGAGCCAGTAAACTTTTTTTTTAGAAAATGCAATACACGTGTTTTATTCAAATTGATATTCAATTTTTTTTCTTTTGTAAGTTGTGTAAATTACCCAAAATGAAAATAGCAGTTTTTACAATAAATATTTATCTCCTAATTAAATATAATTATTTTCATGTATGCCTTGTTTTCATTTTTTCTGCCTCACAGGTGACTCGACTGTGTGATCTATCTATAGATGGAGATTCTGTTACATCGGTCGGCTGGTCAGAAAGGGTAAATATCATTTTTGGCATAAATAAAACTCAGCATAATCATCTGCTTACGATTTTTGTTTTGCAAATCACTTTTTAATGTGGGGAAGTTTGCATTGATCAGGATACAGTTCCTTTTACTCATCAAACATTTTAAACAATTATGTTCATAATACACTCACGGTAAATTCAACTATGTTAGTATGTCATGCTGTTTTGTGTATTGCTGCATTATTCATAACTGACATAAATTGGTAATGATATCAGTGAAAGACAAGACTCATTACTTGAAGTAAGACTAGGTATGTTTACTCCCATTGGAAGATGTTCTGTTTTGAAGAGTGAAGGTAGCTAGTATCATTTAAATTACTGATGCTTTGGGTTATTTGTTTAACTTGAATCTAGGGAAATTTAGTAGCTGTTGGAACACACAAAGGGTATGTTCAGATCTGGGATGCAGCTGCAGGGAAGAAACTGTCTACACTCGAGGGTCACTCAGCAAGAGTGGGTAAGTTTCTCATCATCACAAGCTTAATTTTCCTAGTTCTGGATCGTAGGAAACGTCCTTGGGACATTCTCCTGAGGTGAAAGGCGCTATACAAATATAATTTGTTGTTGTTTGTGTAGATTCTAGGATTGTAATTCAACCAAGAGCACTCACTGACTATTCCAACTGTATTGTTGAAATGTATTCATCAGAGAAAATTGTAATTAAATGGTGACTATTACAATGGATGTTGAAACAAAAACAACTCTAATTTCTCATTGTTTATTGGACTTTGCAGTACACTACCCATTTCAGTGTGATATTGGGACAAAAAGAATGCTCAGTGTCATTCTACAAGCTCCTTAGATGAGACAAATTTATGGGCGTGTTTTGTTTTATTTAAAAAAAACTAAATGCACCATGGGTTATATTGAAAATCAATTTCTTATGGGTTCAGTAATTGAGAAATACTAATATGTGGTCCATAGGTTTTTCCATTGAAGTTTTGGTAGTTATATTTTCATGCTTTTTCAGAACAGTTAAATATGTATAGTTTCAAGAATGCAGGCATTTGACATGGATGGATTATTCCCTTAGGTGCTCTTGCATGGAACGCTGATCAGTTATCGTCAGGAAGTCGAGACCGACTTATTCTCCAGCGAGATATCCGAACCCCACCACTACAATCTGAGCGGCGACTTCAAGGTCACAGGCAAGAGGTCTGTGGCTTGAAATGGTCCACAGACCATCAGCTTCTCGCTTCTGGTGGAAATGACAACAAGGTGAGATTCATAGGAAATAAAGAATCCGGGTAAAATTAAGCCAAACACTGACATCAGTTTTGATGTTCACATCATCCGAAGTGGGAGACCGGCACTCCATTATTTAGAATCACATGAACATCAGCCGCCTTTGTTGATCTCGTCCTGGTATAATTAAAAATTAGAACCCATTAAAATGGGTGCGGCAGCTCCATCAGCGCCTCAAAGTCCTGACTGGTAACAACAACTTGTATTTATACAGCGCCCATCATGCAGGGTGGCGTGAAACTCTGAAAACTCCCTTTTTTTTAATCCCTCGCGCCTTGCCCCTTCCTTCCCCATTTTCGGGCCATGCGAACGGTCACCTCCCCTCCCCCCAGCTCGGAGTCATGCTCCGCCAATGTCAAGCGAGCTAGGATGCTACTCTGCGTGAGGGGAGCTGTATAAATGCAAGCTGTTGTTGTTGGCGTCCCGGAACACTCACCCTGGGAAGCCGAAGCAGCTGGCTAACTTGCTCGGACGTGACTTCATGCGACTGCACAGTGAATGGGAATGCACTGACTGGCTGTCACTCAGTTTATAGCAGTGGTTGGGATTTTATGGACCCCTAAATAACATTATTACTGGGTTCTACTATAATATATATTTAATCGCTGACAGTTTGGGAAATTGGTTTCTTTGAGAGTTTGTTTTTGTCTTGGGTTGGGTTTTTGTTTGTAAAACTGGTGTTAATTCAAAATGGGCTGTATTTTATTATGAAATTGACTCAAGTGTGATTTTTCTTTTTTTCCAAGCTTCTGGTGTGGAACAACTCTAGTTCAGGTCCAGTGCAACAGTACACAGAACACCTCGCAGCTGTGAAAGCCATTGCCTGGTCTCCCCATCAACATGGGCTTCTTGCGTCGGGAGGTGGAACTGCTGACCGCTGCATCCGTTTCTGGAACACTCTCACCTCTCAGCCATTACAGTGTATAGATACAGGTTCACAAGTGTGTAACCTTGCCTGGTCCAAACATGCAAACGAGCTGGTGAGTCCAAAGCAGTTTTTCCTTGGTGCATTTATGAGCTGAATTGCACAGCTCTACAATCTGACTGTCACCTTGAGGATATAGTTTTTTCCCTGTGTTCGCCTCACTTACCTATCTTTGCTTCACAACCATTTGAAGCAATCTAGAACTCTGCAGGGGCTTAAATTGCTTGGACCACATTAAACTTTTGTACTACATAGTGGATCTTGGACCTACATTTTTTTGATAGTCATGAAATAGATCATGTTCTTCTCTGCAGTAATGAAAATAATGTGGCAATAGTTGCATTGTTATCATTACTGGCAGAGCAGCATGTAATAATAGTGGCAGTAGTTGCATTGAAGGCAACATTAATGCTTACCAACACAAATGATGTCTTAACCATGTTATCTTTGTACTTGTAGGTGAGCACTCATGGATATTCACAAAATCAGATCCTGGTGTGGAAATATCCATCACTAACACAAGTAGCCAAATTGACTGGACATTCCTATAGAGTTTTATACTTGGTGAGTACCGCATGCTTTAATTTTCCTTCTGATTTTTCTCTCCTGAAGACTGCCTGCTTGAGGTGGTCTATGGTGTTTTGAGCTAAGACGTATAGGTACACCTCTCACCATGAAGTGGCATCAGTCTTGTCCTCCCTGGACATCCACATTAGTGTCAATTGGCAGCATGGTAATGGCCCTAGTATAGAAGTTGGGCTGCTCTGCTCAATGAATAGTAGGGCTTGTGCATCTCAAGCAATCAGTTGGTGACTGAGAATGGCTGAAGCATAGGTGGGTGGGGTAAATGTCTGGCATTTGCTATCTGCAGGGTAATATGATGATGTAAGATGTGTGGAGAACATCGGCGGGGAAGGAAACCGATTTTATAATATAATTTTTTTTAATAAAAGTACTACCTTGTTAGTGTATGGTTATAAATTCTCTTGAATCCTCTTTTTGACCCAAAGGCCATGTCACCAGATGGAGAAGCTATAGTGACTGGAGCTGGCGATGAAACACTTCGATTCTGGAATGTGTTTAGTAAAACCCGTTCAACTAAGGTATGTGGTGCTCTAGGTAATGAGCTTCACTGTACGAAAAGTTGGGTTTCAACTGAAGAATGAATTTATCCCGTATTTTTAAACAAATGTGATTATACCATATTGCTTCACAAGAGTTGCCTGTCTATTTTAATTATCCTAAAACTGGTAGGCTTTTCACTGAGTGCAAATACATGTATAACATGTTTGCACACAGTTGTCCACATTGATTCCTGAACCCATCAGATTGTTTTAGAAGACAAGCTGAAGGGAGGTGCTTATTTTTAATATTTCAAGTGAAATCATCGAGTTAATAGTGCAGCAGAAACAAAAGCAGGTTATGTGATTAACTTCTTGGTTAGCTAAAATGTGATTTTGACTGGAAGAGGAAATTAAGTGGGCGGTAGGGATGTAGAAACTTGTTTTATTCTCGTTGCTACTAAATTAGATAAAGGCAGTGACGTCAAAATTGTAAAGTTAGGTGCTTCTAAGTTTTCAAATTGCCCAAACCTGTCTGATACTTGCTGACGGTAACAATATACTGACTTGATAGTTATTGCACAGTCAATTCACTTTATAATATATTCTGTGACGAGCTTTGAGACGTCTTGAAGAGGTGACAAGACACTATATGAAATGCAAGGATTATTATTAAATGAAAATTGATATTCCTACCAATTTCATCCGAAATTCCTGCATCAGCTGATGTGCAAATTGTCATATTTTGGAAGGCACAAGCAGGACATATGCTAATAGTGCAGTAGTAAGAGTGAACAATTAGTTAAAGAGGAATTTTCAGAGTTCAAGAGATGCATTTACTTTTGCATTAAATTACAGGAATCCATATCTGTGCTGAATCTCTTCACAAGGATTCGATAACATCTGCAAGGAAAATGGAACCTAATTCTTGTGTTAAACGAAGACCGTGCCACCAATGCCATAAACGTGCAAGGAACTGTTTCATTTTTTAGCACTGTTATTGCTTAATTTGGATAAATCTGCAAAAGAGAATTTGAAGGCATTTGCTGCTCATTCCAAACAGCTCACATTTTTGAAAAGTTCATTTTGAATTATGTTTGTTTACAAAGAACTGTTTTGAAGAAAAAAAAACTGCCAAAGGTTTTGAATTAAGATAAGAGAAGTGTGGATCCAATTTTCTTGTACACTTTATACAACCAGCCAGCTAGACCTTACTGTCAACTAAAATGGAGTGCTGGAGAGGAATCCAATGCACAAATTTGTCTTTAATATTGCTTGTAAATATTGAATCTGTTGGTTTTGGGGAAATGTACATTGAATATAAAGTACTGTAGAAATGCAACCAGATAATGGATAAAGCAAGCTAACCAGATTACTGACATAAGAAGCAGGCATAATGTTTAAAAAAAACTTGAAACTCTCCTGTGTGCCATTATATAAAATATATATTTTGCAATTGTATTACAATGGGTTTTCAAAATATTAAGCAGGAAGATTTCTATTTGTTAACACAAGTATTTTGTTACTGAAATGTTGGGCTCTTGGAGGTTGACATCATGTTATAGAACACCACAAAGCTTATATTAATTGGAGTTATGATTTGGCTAATGTTCAAATATCCCTAAATGTAACCGCTCAATGAAACATAAATCTTTTTTTAAAAAGATTGGAAAGATTAAAAGGTCTTGCTGCTTATAATGTTGAAAAATGTTTTTGTCAAAAAAAGCACTTGATTTTTTTAAAACCTTTTCACCTGCCACCATTACCAAATAATGTTACTTTATACATTTCACCTGATGCTGTATTTTATACCACTGTGTCTTTTCATTCAGCTGTAAACCTGCTTTTTGTGTGGTATGTTCTGTCATGTATGAGTGAATGTGTTTCAAATTTGTGAGTGAACCTTGTGCTTGCAGGCATACTGAGAGCCAAGAAAGTGACATTTCTGCTGAAAATGTACAGTGGTGTTCTGACTGTTTTGAACGTTCATATCTATGTCTAGTATTGTATGACAAGGCTAGCATTCTGTTATTCAACACAATTCCAAAGTAGCATAATCACAAATTTATAAAAGGACTGCTATAATTAAAACTGGAAAGACTTCTAACAAATCCTGCTTTGAATTGTTTTTTTGCAGGAATTTTAGTAACTTTCAATTCGTTGTCCTCTGCTGCAATTGTGTATTGGTGAAATAACAAAACTGCTTGAAATTGAATAGAGCCCAGAGAGAGGAGCCTGTTTTAAATTATTTACTCTTGCTTTAACTTACAGCAAGTCAATTGTCATAGGAGATAAAGGGCCAAGTCTGGAACTTGTGTTCACGCTCCCCATCTGTTAAATCAACAACTTTTGTGAATAGTCAATTTTATTCCCAGCAAACATGACTTCTCATTCTGGTGAGATCTTGCACAAGATGGGGAATGATTGCTGTATACAATTGACTGCTGTATTTCGCCCACAAAATATACAGTCAGTTCACTTTACAGTTTATTCAACATTGTCTCTAATTGTGAGACATTCTCAAAGAATGTAGGAGCTGACAAATTATAGTACTGTCAGTTACCAGAGGGTCTTAGTGGTTTAAACTGACACGCACACATTCTGTTCCAAAGGTGAGGAGAGGGGGAAGAGGAGAATAGTTAAGAGTAACTGAACTTGGGATTTGCACTCCTTTGTTCCTGGTTCTGCTTTCAACTTCTTGAATAATGAAAGAGTTACATTATCCTTTCGGTTTGTCACCACTCAGATTTTTAGCAAGGATTCAATCAGCTTGTGTTATTGCCAGGTTTTCCAACTCCTTCCCTCCAACAACGTCTGTGTTCCATGTACAAAGACTTGTTTGTGAAAAATTTGTCCCATGTTCCGTTAATGAGGCTCGGAGGCCAAATGTCCCTTCTTAAAAGTTCTGAATAGCTTTTGTTTAGCCAGCTGCTGCCCATCGCTTATGGTGTTCCAAATCCAAACATCCCTGTCGGGCACTCATCAACGAGAGACAAAGTTGGCTTACTTACTCAGGCGTAAATTCAACAATTTCTTTGGAATGATATGCTTGTTCAGACACATATTTTGAAAAATATTCTAGTTGGGGAAGACATTTAGGAGGCACTATCGAATTTTTTTTGTTAAATATTCAGTGGGTCACCCAAATACCTCATTGTAGTTCTCCTGGATTGACATGGTTAAAATCAACTGCTTGACATTGTTTTATTAAATTCAAGAAATTTTTTATACTGTCATTATGCTATTTTTTAAAATAACCGGTAGAGTATTTAAATAACAGGTTACAATAACCTGTGTTCGAGGTTTTACGTTGACCGAGTTGCAAGGAGTAAAGGGGTATGCTACATGAAAGAATCTTATGAGAAGTACACAAACAACACCAACAACAAAATTACATTTGTACAGCGCCTTTCACGTCAGGAGGACGTCACAAGGCGCTGGACAGTCAGTGTTTCGGACCCAAGCTGGGGGATCAGATGATGTGCGAAAAAGTCTTTATTTGATGTTTCCCGTGGCTGATCTCAAAAGAAATGATGAGGTAAGAGTACATCAAGGGGTTGGTCCGTTTACTCAAATGATGTTCTGACTCAAAAGGGAGGTGTTAAATAGCCAGTTGCTTAATCCACAGGAAGGAAGAAGTAAGCATCGGTTTGAGACACTCGAAACCGCTATAAACGGGGTGTGTTCTAGGGAGAGCTCGCTTGCTCCAGTCCAGACAAAAATTTCCATGCATCTAAGTGACGTGCATCTGTGGAATCGCTTTCGGGGGGCAATGATCCCTCCAAAAAAAATGTATTCACTCAACCCACAACTGTTTGTGGTGTGGGACACTGCTGTGCGCAATTAGCTGCTGAATTTCGCCCACAACATACACAATCAATCCACTTTACAATATATCTTGTGAAGTGCTTTGAGACGTCTCAAACGACGTGATAAGCAACTTGCATCAAGTGGAATGATTATTATTATTCACCTGATAGTCGTTCATGGGGCGTGGACAATTTGTGCACACAATTGGCCGCGGAGATCGCCCCAAAGCATCGAGAGCCTCGCCACGCTTCGCAGCGAGACCCTGCAAAGCGCTTGGAGAAGTCCCTCCTGAAATGATAAGGCGCCGCATCAGTGTGAAGGTCCCTCTGTAACTGCACGTTACAGTTACAATAATAATAATAATAACAGAAGAAGCATCCTTGCAATTGACATAAACCCCTTTACCACGCCTTCGAGACGTTGTCGTCGTGACAGGATTTTGATAAGGCGCTATAGCAAATGCCAGGACTGTTATTATCAATAATAATAATAATAATTATTGTGATCCATCATCATCACCATCATGATTGTTGTTGCTCGCAAATGAAATGTTGGGTGTTTGGGGACGGTCCCTAACGCGCCTCTTTTGTGTTTGCCGTTGGGGGACGGTCCCTAATTGGCTCCTCCCCCTCCCCCTCCTCCTCCTCCCCCCCCGCCCTTCCGGTCCCGGCGCCTGCGCAGTGCCGCTCGCCTGCACCTCAGGCACGAGCCGGTGGGTCGAACGAACGAACGGACGACGGACGGACGGACGGCGACGGGAGTCGGCGTCTCGCGGCCGCGGTGAGTCTCCAGCCCCGGGGAGGAGGGAGGGAGGGAGAGATTTAATTAACGGTCGCGTAAACGCGGCCCCCAATCAAAGGAAAAGAAAGGCCGCCGAGAGCGGGGGCTTTGGGGGGTGAGTTTTGGGCGGGAAAGCCGCGGCGCGAGGGAGGGTGAGGCCTTCCCCAACACCACCCCCCAACCCCCTCACACACACACACACACACACACTGCCCTCCCGACCCCCTTCCTTCTTTCCTTCCTTCTCTCTCTCTCTCTCTCCCTTTCCCTCCGTCTCCTTCTCTCTTCTCTCCTCCTCCTTCTCCCCCTCTCTCTCTCCCTCACTCCCCCTCTCCCTCCCTCTCTCTCTCTCCCTCCCTCCCCCTCTCCCTCTCTCACTCCCTCATTCCCTCTCCCTCCCTCACTCCCCCTCTCCCTCACTCCCCGTCTCTCTCCCTCATTCCCTCTCCCTCCCTCCCTCCCTCTCTCCATCCCTCCCTCTCTCTCTCTCCCTCACTCCCTCTCCTTCACTCCCTCCCCCTTTCTCTCTCCCTCACTCCCCCTCTCTCTCCCTCCCTCCCTCCCTCTCTCCATCACTCCCTCTCTCTCTCTCCCTCACTCCCTCTCCTTCACTCCCTCCCCCTTTCTCTCTCCCTCACTCCCCCTCTCTCTCCCTCACTCCCTCTCTCTCTCCCTCACTCCCTCTCTCTCTCTCGCTGCTCAGCATCTTCTTCTCCTTCTTCTCGGTGCCGTTTGTTAAGCGAGTCGATGGCAGATAGAGAGAGAGTCACTGATGGAGGAGGGAGGAGGGGAAGGAGTGAGTGAGTGAATAGACGACACCCGCCCCTGTGAGCGGTTACTTCTAATATCATCGTAGGAAAGTTTTTTCTCTCTGTTTTCGGGCAACTTTCGCTGCTTTTTTAAAAATATATATTTTTAAAAAGTAGATATATATATATAAATATATATATGTTTTATATATGCGAATATATGTTTGTCAGCCCGGCGCAATTGGTCAGCATTCTCGCCTCTTGAGTCAGAAGGTTGTGGGTTCCAAAGCCCCGCCACGTCTGGACTTGGGACTCGCGTAGTCTAAGCTGACACTCCAGTGTGGGGGGTGGGGGGGGAGGTTGTGTTGTCGGAGGTGCCGTCCCTCGGATGGGATGTCAAATCCGAGGGTCCAGTCTGCCTGCTCGGGCGGACGTTAAAAAGCTCCCGCGGCGCTATTCGGAAAGGGGAAGGGAGTTTCTCTCTTTCTCCCGGTGCCCTGGCCGACAGCCCTCCAAGTAAAGTCGGTCGCGCGCTCCGTGGCCGTCCGTGGGCTGTGTGCGACTCACCGCCGAGTTTCACCCGCGAGTCACACACACACACACTGTCCCTCCACTTTGCAGTATATCCGGTGAAGCGCTTTGAGATATCTCAACGGTGTGATGAGGCCCTATATCACATGCAAGGATCATTATTATTATTTAATTTATTTTTATCTTCTATTTTGCTTTCTTGCAAGAAACCGGAAGGGGTCTCCTCACCAACTGTGTGGGGACCTTAAACCTGTCTCCTGTCTGCCTGTTAAAGGTGCCCATGGTCTTCTCGTCTTTTCATTTTTTTAAAAAAGATAGTTTCTCTTCTTTTTCCTCTCTCTCTCTCCGTGTGATTCACATGACTTACTGTAAAATATAGTGATTGTGTATTTTTCAAGCGAACTTTGGGCCGGCATACGTGAGTAAAGCCCTTATCTTTTTGAGCAGCCACATGAGATCTTTAAGCAAGGCTTTGTGGAGTCCTGTGGCTCAGTGGTTAGAGCACTCGCTTTGCAAGTGAGAGACCTGAGTTCATTCCCAGGCAGAGGGCGAAACCTCGGGCAAGTTTCCTTACTCCACACAGAGCCTAATAATAATCCCTCCAAAACCAAAAACAATAATAAATTGGTCATTTTCAATCCACGACTGTTTGTGGGACATTGCTGTGCGCAATTGGCTGCCGCGTTCGCCCACAAATATACAGTCAATTCACTTTACAGTATATTCTGTGAAGCGCTTTGGGACGTCCTCCCGACGTGAAAAGCGCTATATCAAATGCAAGGATTATTATTTTATTATTAAGGCAGGTGGGTGCTCGGTTTAAGGTCTCCCCAAGTTTGCGATGAGGATGCTTTAAGTCCTGAAAAAGAATGAATTGGGCTGGAAGACAGACAGTGATTTCAACGCGCACCTCGGTGTAAGAGAACAATCAAGGAAAGTTGTGAAACGATTGCAGCAGTATTAGCTGGAATAAATTACCCACAGGTTACAGGGGAAATTGCGGTGTTAATAGAACATTGTTTTATCACAATGGTTTCTTCTCCTTCTGTGCTACAAGGTTCCCTTTCTCATCCACTGATTTCAATTGTATTTCTTTAATGGAAGAATCTGCATGGAGACTCTTTTGCATGTCTTACAAGATTGCCACTCCCAGAGTTCTTTGCATTGGAGAGAGTTTCACAAGTTGACATTATTGTACACCTGGAATGGTTAATTAAGGAATCCCATTTGAATGTATATTGGGAAGCCCCAATTTAAATAATGCTTGCATTTAGTGCATCATTTTGGCACGTCAATGTATTTCATACAATGAGTTGCTCTGAGTTGTAGTGACTATTGCAAAGGCAAATGTGGAAACTAATCATTGTGTGAAATTGTTGACAATTGGAAGCTAATTGGCAGCATTAATGTCCCACATACCACTTCTTGGTGAATGATCAATGAATCTATTTACTGAATTACTTTAATTGCTTTGCCTCAAAGATTCCAGCAGATTTTGAGGCATGACCTATATTGAATGCTGCTGTACTTTTTAGGTGAGCATTGAAAGCTTCCTTTATAATACTCTCGAGTATATTTTCCACCTCAGGCTAGTTGGTGTTTAATGTCCAGGTTCATGTTTAATTCAATTTTCGAACATATTTGCAAACCATCTGGACCTCATACCGAGACCCAGTATTATCGAGTTCCTTAAAATAGTAACCAGAGCCTCCTTTTTTTTGTTTTTGCTCAAAGATTCTATGTCCAAAATTAGATGGAAAAATTCCAGTTACTTTTTTCTCATAAATGATGCAAGAAAATATCTAGAAATTGTCTTCAGTTAGAATATCCCAAGGAATTCCCCTGGCAGCAAGCTACCAAATTGATTACTCATAATTATATGCAAAAATTGTTGCTGTATATAAAGAACGACGAAAGCAAAAGCAAAATACTGTTCGGACACAGTTGTTTGGAGTATCAACTGATTTAACGCATTTGTGTACTTTTTAAGTTGGTTCCAATTTTTTTTAAACAAAACTAAAGGGTCATGGCTATGAGGAAGAATCTTTCAAATTAAAAGACACTGCTTATAGGAAGTGTTCCAAGGTTGAGGGTTTTCTAAGTAAAAAGGTAAGTGAATGCCCTACAGTATTTCCAACTTGGGAGGATCTGTATCTCCTAAACTGCTATGAAGAAATATTTTTGTTTTTGGATGATAGAAAGCCTGGATGGTACAGTAAAAATGATACGGCAGTTCATAACACAGGTGTGAAATCAGAAGTGGTGAGAGTAGAACTGATCAGCTCTCTGGGAGCTGGTTAAAGCTGTTAACCAGTTTTGTTTGTTTGTAAGGTATGTTGCACTTCTAATACTTGTTATGAAAACAATGGCTGGTTATTTTTTAAAAGCTCCTTATGGGAATTCAAAGGAAACAATTGTAGTAAACAGATGTGTAATTGTGTTATTGCTGCTGAATATTGAAGCGTCTGAGGCATTAACCTGCATGAGGGACGCTATATAAATGCAAGTTCTTGGTGGTGGTGTTAATGCTGCTGCTACTCCAGAACAGTTCAAAATTACTGCACATTGGAGTCCAATATCAAGTGTGAAAGGTAAATTTTAGTTTGTTTTTTCATTGCTCTGCCCCCTGGTGACACCAGTTTCACTGACCTAAAGAAAAAAACCTTTTGAAGGGGTCACTCTGTAATTCTAGTAGATGTTCATAAGCCATCTATCAATTTACTGATGGTAGTGACTGAGAATCATAAATATGCTAAAAATTGAATAGTTCTGGCAGCAACCATAGACGTGTAGAATCTACCTACTTGTGTTAACATGATTACTTTGTAAAGACATGTCTTTACAGAATGATGTTTGAAGAGGTACACAAAACACGCAGCTCAAACAGCAAAGGAGTTCAAGTCTAACGTATATCTCTTAAAAAGACCAGGATCATGAAGCTTTTAATCTTCCTTTGTTTTTCTTTTAAATTAAAAGGTTGTTCGCTTGCATGCAGTTTGATCATTGAACACAACAAAATTACATTTGTAGAACCCCTTTCACGTCAGGAGGACGTCCCAAGGCGCTGATTTAGTATTAAAGGACCACATCATACGGAGTGTGGCTGGAATTGGGAGTGAATGAGAATTTGTAGGCAGTATGGAAGGTAACATCAGAATAACTGCAACTTGTGTGACTTGTTTAGGTGAATCAATTGGCTGGAAGCTGTTAGGAAAGTGAACATCAGAAGAGGTTTTCACGACTAGCAACGTGACTCATGAAGTGTTTAATAATCTATGTCCTGTGCCACTCCAGATTTGAGTAGCTTTGGTCTATTTTATTGGGGCTATTTAACAACTTGAATTTTAGTTTGCTCCATCATTGCATGACTCATGCTTCTCACATCATGTGGTTTCCCAGCCTGGGCCAAAATCTTCAAATACAGTTCTGTTGAGTAGATTCCATCGCCCAAGTAAATGCAGATATCTCTACACCCTAATTTCATATGGTCATTGGTAGAAATTTACAATGATTTAAAAACCGTACAGGCAGTTTTCTTCCTTTTCAATGACTATTTGGGTGTGTGGAATAACAACAACAACTTGTACTTATATAGTGCCCTCCTTGCAGGTTAGGGTCTCAGAGTGCTTAGGTTTGAATGCAAGTTAATGTCTAAAGGATACTTAGGGTCACATAAGTTTATTCATAAAGAATTGCCGTTTCTGTGAGGTATCATACCCCAGCAAGCCTCGGGCGAGGGAATAACCCAACAGTTCAACTTGGTGACATCATGTTTAAATGTCATGTTAGATCATCTGCCTTCGTGTTGCTTGACTTTTTAATGATCTGTATTATCGGAAACCACCTGGGAGACGATAAGCCAAATTGGAAATCCCCAGCAGCTCATTTATAAAGTGCAAAACCTTCCGTTTGTTTCCTGATTCTGACTTGACTACGAAAATGAAACTAGCTTTGGCTTACTTTCAAGAAACCCTGCCATCAAAATATTACAGCTATGGTACTACAAAATAAATCGTTGCTATCAAAAAGGTCAAATCTTCCCAATGAGGGTCGACTACTGCAGGTCAAACATTTTTGTAGCCTTTCTCAAAAGCCAAAGCAAATCTCTTTGTTAAGCTGAACGGCAGAAATTGTGCCTTTGAGGTGTCTCTCTGATTGGGCTGGATGAAATTTTGCAAATAGAGAAAAATTAAGTATTTTTGACTGTTTGATTTTTTTTCCCCACATTTTCTACAGATCTCGAAGCTTACTGAGCGTGGGAACCTTGCAGTGCAAACGATATTCAAGGTGTAAAGACAAATCAAAGTGTGTCTCGGGTGCATCTGGCTTGTTGCGAAGACTTAATTTTTCCTGCTTCTCATGGACAGTCACATAGGTTCAAATATGGCAGTGGCCTTGAAGCAGGTTTTCAACAAAGACAAGACATTTCGTCCCAAGCGCAAATTTGAGCAAGGCACCCAGAGGTTTGAGTTGCACAAGAAGGCACAGGCATCGCTGAACGCAGGTCTAGATTTGAAACTAGCAGTGCAACTCCCTTCAAATGAGGATCTCAATGACTGGGTAGCGGTCCATGTGGTGGACTTCTTCAACCGCATCAATCTGATCTACGGGACTGTGTCTGAATTCTGCACTGCCTCCACCTGCCCTATAATGTCAGGAGGACCCAAGTACGAATACAGATGGCAAGACGAAAGCAAGTACAGAAAACCCACCGCACTATCTGCTCCAAAGTACATGAGTCTCCTTATGGATTGGATTGAAACCCAAGTGAACAATGAAAACATATTCCCAACTAATGTTGGTGAGTCGTAAAACCTTCTTTGAACATCTTCTTGCACTTTGTTGTTCAAATTGTTGTTTTCTTTGTAACAAAACCTCTCGATAAAGCAATTATTGTAGCAGAGAGTTTATGAATGACTGCATTACTGCCTTGGGGCTGACCCTGTTATAAAGTGCCTGGTATAGCATTGCACTATAATGGTATGGCCTACACTTGGATTCTATTAAATTACTATACTTATCTAGCCAACTTGAAAGTGATTCCACTCAAATGTATTTGGGGGGTGGGAAAGGTTAAAGAGTCTGGATAGGAATGTAAACATACTAATTTAGAATTGCTGCAATAATAGTTAACCAGAAGGTAGTACTAAATTTCATTGGTATTTGTTTCTTTATAATAGTTTCAATATTGATCAGTTTGGGCGTAAGCCGTCTCGGCTTCATGTAAATAAAAGAAAATCACCTGTCTTACATGAATGGTAGCATTATCTATTGTTCTGATCTGAAGTAACTTGGCCCATTAATTTTTTTATATATCATTTCTCTCAGGTACTCCTTTTCCAAAGAACTTCCAGCAAGTTTGCAAGAAGATCCTCTCCCGGCTTTTCCGTGTTTTTGTCCACGTCTACATCCACCACTTCGACCAAATTGGCAATATGGGAGCAGAGGCACACGTTAATACCTGTTATAAGCATTTTTACTATTTTGTGACGGGATTCAACTTGATAGACAACAAAGAGTTAGAACCACTGGTATGTTACAGCAATATTTACTCGAACATTTAATTGATATAATTTAGTTTATCCATAGAACGATAGTTTTTTAAATGTATGTGGAATAAGTACAACACTGCTGTGGCAATTGGCTGCCGCGTTTCGCCCACAAATATACGGTCAATTCACTTTACAGTCTATTCTGTGAAGCACTTTGAGACGGCGAGAAGAGGTGAAAAAGCACTATATCAAATGCAAGGATTATTATTTTTATTATTAATTTTGTAAAGAGGTTGAAACCGTTGCAGTTCTGCCCCTCGGCTTAATTTAGGTTACAGGAAATGTGATGGAGAAACATTCAAGGCAGTTGAACTTCTTCTAGCATCGGTATTGTACCCTACCTAGTGTTATAAAGCTCCAATGCTCTCTCTAAGTGCTATCTTACTTTGGAAGTGCACAATCTGTAACTATACTATTGGGTACTTTTGACTCAATTGAATTGGACAAAATCTGATAAATTCTCGTTCATACCAATCTGTTAAACTAACATTTAGTGGGTAAATGTTTGCAGTGCAGTCGTTTGAGAATTACATGCAGCGAAGATTCTAGTTGCACTAAAATTCTAGTAGCTGAACAACATATGGAATTTGAAGACTATTGTGGGCTTGGCGAAGAGGACGGTGTAGTTGGAAATCTCAGTCCTTTAGTACTCAATACTGTTTGTACCCATACAAATATATTTTTCTTATGGCTACCTTCCATTGTAAGCATTTAACAGTGAACTTTCTGAGGGATATTCAATGAGCTTCTCATCACAAGTATTCCTTGCAGCCTTTTAAGGCTTAGCTTATTTTGGGTTAATGTCCAATATATTCTCCTGAAGCCAGATGAAGAATACTGATTTGTTCAGACATTTTTGTTTTGTTTTTGAGATACTAGATTTTGGCGTCACTTTATGACATAACCTCTTTATCTTGCCTCTATCTGTCTGTCTAACCTAACCTTAATTCTCTTATCTCATGTCAGCTTTTCTAAATCGTATATGTACCCGTCTGTTTTCTTTCTTGCAGTCTGATTCTGTCTTTCTGGCGATAGCTGCATAGGTCTTTGATCGTATTATCCGTTGCTCTGTTCTGCTCCTCTTATCTGGTGACCTCTCTTCCTCCGTGGTTTATGACAGTCTTACTCTCTGAAGCACTGTACATATTCTTGTGATGATCCTGCTATGTTCTGAGGTATATATTTTCATTATAATTATAATAAGAAGAATCCTTGCACTTATACAACAACAACTTGCATTTATATAGCGCCCCTCATGCAGGGTAGCATCCCAGAGTAGCACCTTTCGCGTCATGAGGACATTTCAAAGCACTTCGCAGGATTTACAGTCAAATTTGCAATTTGTCTATCAAACCGTTGAGTGGAACAAAGTTTGTTGCTAAACTCTGGATAGGTTGAAATCTTTTGTGTGGTGAGTTTTCTCAGTCCTTAGTTGGGCCACACGGCAGCATACTGCCCATCTTGGCAAACCAGCACTAGAAACAATATTAGCATTCCACCGATCTTACCTTCTTTCAATGAATCATGCAGTGCTATTGACAGGATCAAAACAGGAACCTGTGAGGTGCTGGAGGTGAAACTATATCCCAGCATGCAATTACAAACTATCAAAAGAGCAAAGTACAGGGTTGAAGGATGTATGTCTGAATGTGCTGGGTTCAAATATACAGTGAATTGAATTGCTAATTCATACGCTGAATTGCTGCTTACCTCTTATTGGGTTAAAATGAGTATCAAAGCTCTGTCTCTGAATATCCCTGTTGCATATGATCGCATTAACCACAAAGCAATATCATTCAGGAAACAAAAAGCATCCCATACTGTTCTTAAATTTTGGAGTCCTGTGGCTCAGTGGTTAGAGCACTCACTTTGCAAGCAAGAGACCTGAGTTCAATTCCAGGCAGAGGGCGAAACCTTGGGCAAGTTTCCTTACTCCACACAGAGCCTAATAATAATCCCTCCAAAACCAAAAACAATAATAAATTGGTCATTTTCAATCTACGACTGTTTGTGGGACATTGCTGTGCGCAATTGGCTGCCGCGTTTGCCCACAAATATACAGTCAATTCACTTTACAGTGTATTCTGTGAAGTGCTTTGGGACGTCCTCCCGACGTGAAAAGCACTATATCAAATGCAAGGATTATTGTTGTTATTATTAAATAATTGAGAAATGCTAAATGTTGTTTATTTTTCCAGAGAGTTTCAAATTTGTGGTTGTTAGCCACTAAAGTACTGTTTTTTCCTATTGTTTTCTTAACAGAAGGAGATGACCATGAGAATATGCCATTGAAAGACTCGTGAGCGACCTGATGTTGGAAAAGGCTGAATTAGTGTTTCTTCTCCATTGTTGATATACTTTTTTTCATCATCTTAACCAATTAAGATAAAAGCAGTTTGACTTCATTTGAACGTTATTTGCTGATATCGAGATCTGAAAGAGATAGGTGTCCAATGTGGAATTTTGCATGGACACAGACAGCAGTGGAGGTTTGCAGAAAAATCCCTTGACCGCTAACAGTTTACTGGGGCAACCCATTGTGTAAATGTCACCACTATAAATGACACAGTTCGGCGGCTGGCTGGTTCACGATAGGAATAAGAATCTGATGCTGGATTGACTTGTAGTTTTTCTGTAATGCCCTGTAGAGGGAAATATTCTGCTTGGCAAAGATTTCACTGGTTTGTATATTTTATTCAGGAAATTAATACTTCAGTACGTTCACATGAGTTTGAAATTAGCTGATGTCCAGCTAAGGTTGCTTAAGTGCTGAAAGCCCTGAGACAGTGTTTGACAATATTCTCATTATTCTTCTTGTGATCTAATAATTATTGCACTTGGTTGAAGCGATTGTCACATTAGGAGTTTGTCTCAAAGCGCTTTAATTACGGGATTAACTAAAGTGTCGTGACTGTGTATTTTCTCAACGAATATAGGTTCTTATAAAATTGTGAAAATCAGCAAATTTAAAATACTTTGCCCAGCTCGAGTTTTCAGAGAAATTAAATCTACGTCCTTGATGGTACATAGAATATTTGTTTATATGCTTGTTCCAACTGAACAGAAAATACTAGTTCATGATTTTTTTTAAAAAAAGGTATTTAAAATGAACGATATACTTTTGTATTCTTCAATTCTTGTTTAAAACTAGTGTTATCGAATGTTATCATTCAAGGGAGTTTTGCATTCTTTGCAAAGACAACTGTGGTACAATGAAATCCTTTTGCATTTTATACATTTTATGCTTTACCTCTCCAGCTTTGTACAGCATTGCTGTACTCTGACCTGTTGTCCAGATGGTTTCACGTCATCTTTCTTGCGTTTGGTTTTGTGACTGGGTTTTCTGACTACGTGATTATGCCGTAATGACATTAAAAAATTTAGATGTTTTCATTTGTGGTGTGATATTTTCCCCCCCTCCCCCCGAATTCTCAGATTCGTTCAGATTTGTGTAACACCCTTCCACAGAACCACAGAAATTTACAGCACAGAAGAAGGCTATACGTCCCATCATGTTTAGACTAGCTTCTTTTAAGAGCAATCCTATCAGTCCCATTTACCTGATCTTATCCCGTACCCTTATAGTTTATTCCTTTTAAGATATTAATCTAGTTCCCTTTTGACAGCTAATATGGATTCTGCCTCAACAACCACTCCCGGCAGGACATTCCATATCCTAATTACTGAAAAAATAAATTCCAACTTTGTCCATTTCCTAACTATCTTAAATTGATGCCCTCTAAGTCACCGACTCACTGACCAGTGGAAATAATTTCTTCCTGTTGAATTCTTTCCAAACACTGCATAATTTTCAAGATATCTTATTGGGTCACCCCTCAACCTTCTTTGTCCAGGACTAAGGCTGCAAGAGGCCAGTCTTTTCGATTTAAAGTATAGCCAAGAGCGAAGATTAGGATTACAACCGGTGAGGTGACTGAACTCGAGAAAATTAGGACCCAGTGACTCAAGTCGAGAAGGTAGAAGGGGGTTTTAAAACAAAATCTTCTGCCTTGGAGCATCAGAAAATGAATGTGCATTTGTTCCACTCTTCTGCGATGGTGTTGAGCAGCCAGCAGGTAGGCTGAGACACAAGTACCTGTATTTTTATATCATAATAATAATCCTTGCATTTGCTACAGCGCCTTATCACATCTTCGAGACGTGTTAAAACGTTTGACAGGATACACTGTAAATTACGGTTACAGGAACTCCCTCCTCATCGGCCTTCCCAACTCTTCCCTTCTCGTGTACTCGTGTACTCTCGTGCACCAGGCTCTGTGACCCCATCACTCCCACCCTCGCCCAACTCCACTGGCTCCCCATCCCCCAGAGGATGGAGTTAAAGATCCTCGTCCTCACTTTCAAAGCCATCCATGGCCTTGCCCCCTCTACCTACCTTTCTGGCCTGCTGACTCCCTACCAACCTGCCAGTTCCCTCCATTCAGCGGGCTCCTGTCTGCTCCATGTCTCCCATCTGACCCGTCCTACCATCGGTGGCTGAGCTTTCAACCTCTCTGCCCCCACACTCTGGAACTCCATTCCACATTCATTTCACCTCGCTTCCTCCCTTGCCTCCTTCAAGGCCGGTCTCAAAGACCCTTCTCTTTGGTCGCCCTCCCACCTCTCTGGCTTCCCTCACCCCTACACTACCCCTCCCCATGCCCGGGCCCCGACACCTCACTGTTCAGCGCTTTGGGACGTCCCCCCGAAGTGAAAGGCGCTCTATAAATGTAATTTTGTTGTTATAAAGTGAATTGACTGCATTTTGTGGGCGAAACGCGGCAGCCAATTACGCTCAGCAATGTCAAAGACACCTAGCTTTAGCTTGTTGCCTCTCAAGATAACGTATCTAGAGGTGATTTCCAGTATATATATATATAATATATATAGATACAGTAACCTGTGCCATCACAGCATAAGGAAGTTGGTGGCCCAGAAAAGTCCGGCAAAGGGTTTTTATTGCTTTATGACACTGCGATTCAATGTAATTATTTTAATCTATCCAAAACAGCTTTGCACCACTGCCCTCCTGAAACCTTCCCAGAATGTGTTGTAATTGAAGTTGCATAAGAATGTCGGTAACAAGTGCCTGCCAGCTAAAAGCTGCCTCCGCCCAGTATCTTTTCTCCAATGTTCCTGTGCTATTGTGGGAGAAAAATAAACGACATTGGAAACTGTGATGAGGTTTGGTAATTTCCAAAGCTGAATTGTGATCAATTCCACCCACCCCATTTCTAAATGTACCGAAAACTAAGCACATGCGACAGTAAATTACATTTGGATAGCGCCTTTCACGTCAAGAGGATTGGCGATAAATATGCGATGTTTGAAGCACAGACAGCATCGCAATAGAACAATAATGTGGAACTCAATTTATTTGGGGTCCTTTGTAGAGTTGACGTGTAGAAAGTACACAAAATCTGCTCAAGATTTTTATTGCAACCTCTTATTAGTGCAGAACTGTCCCTTTATCTATGTTTAACCAGCAGATGGCATATGGAGCCTACTGGAAGGTGCTCTCACAAGAGGTGAAGCCTGTTTGGGTGGTCACCATTAATACGCTTGCCAATATATCTAACCTATTAAAAGAGAAATATGATATATGGTTTAACTTTACAGCCATGTCTCTTTGTCAACAACAATTTAATGAGTGGACTGTATAGGGTGAGTATTGTGGAAGGAATGAGATCAAATGGGGAATCTGCCAACTATTAAATTCCACAGACTCAATTTCTCCACGGGTGTTTTGGGTAAAACAGTGTCTGCTAAACCTTTACAAATCCACCTCCTTTCCGTTCCAACTGTTTCTGAACCTTTCTTTTTCATCCCAAATTCTCTCCTGAAGTTGGTTTGTAACTCATACTCCGTGGCCACTTGGAACCCTTAAATACCCATTTAATTTCCCCTGTTCTTGTCTGGGGGAAAAAAAACCTCTTTGACCATAATTTTGGTCATCCCCTCCTTCCCCACCCCCACCCCCTCAGATGCCCTTCCAGCATTGTCAAGCACTTTGAGACGTCTTCCTGAGCTGAAAGCCATCATATAAATGTAAACTCCATTGCATTTGTGTAAGCTTTGATTGGGGGAAGCCAACAAGGGGAGGTTTTGCAACTACGTCTGAGTCTGATCTCGTCTTCAACCACTATGCGTACTTTCCAGCAGCAATCCTGATTATTTTCCCCGAGTCTAGCTTAACTGGGGTATTGGAGCCCAACTAGGAATTGAACATTCTGAATAATTACATTCTGTACTGGGCGAGTTTGAATGCAACTTTCAATTTATTATTGTTATCTCAACCAATGCATGTTTACACATTGACAAATATGCTTAGACTTTAGCCAAAGTATTCCTCGCGGAAACAGCAGGCTGTCTCACCAATCCACTGCTCTCTCCGGTGTCCTGATCAACAATTCCTCGGATTCATTGGCTGCGCCTGTGCAAATTGGCTGCACTGGTTGCCTTTAACTGTGAGGTGCCTTGAGATATTTCAGTGTTATTGGAGCTACATGAACGGCAAAGATTATTCTGCTCATGGTAACCTTCTCGGTGCAGATGAGAGCATGAGTTCACCACATGTTAACTTGCAGGCGTGAACCTGCCACCAAATGTTGACACCCACCATTTACCACATGTGCCAACGTGCTGCTGCCTTGCCTTTCCAAGCCTTTCTGTAATCCAGCCGATTTATAAATGCAGCCGTGAATCCAATGCAACTTCAAGGCTTGCGCTCACTGCAGAGGTAACAGCAAAGGGAGGCTGCTGCTTTTGCGAAGGCTTTACAGAGCTCAAAATGACCCGAGCTGCAGAAATTCAAGTTTTTGAGCAAAGTGGCACAAACAAGCACGCAAAACAGTACATTCCCGAAGCTAAGCTTTGTGAGGAATGTGGTTTGGAAGTCAGTCCGTGGCCTGTGAAAGCTGTACAAGCACTTCCTTTGTGATGTTTTGCGCTCTGTGTTCTATTGAGAGGTTATTTCCACGGTTCAAACCACATGTGTAGAGAAGAGGAAGGGGCTCACATCTTGATCACATCTCTGATGTCAAAATACTGCAAAGCGCTTTACAGTTCAGTACTTACTGTTAACTGTGTGAAGTTTTTTGTAGGCAAACTCAGGGGACCAATTTGCACACAGCAAAGTCAATCACCAACCTATCTACCTACATCATGACTGTTTTTTGTGGGAATTAATCTGGAGGATTGGTGGACACCGAGAGAAACTGCCTTCTCTGTCCCCCCTCCTCAATGAAATGTCACCTGAGAAGATGACTTCAATTTGATTACAAGCCCTGGATATATTTTGATATCCACATCACAGACTAAATAATAGATGCCACAAATTAAGCGCTTGTCTGTCAACTCTGGCTCAGTTG